AGCATTTATTAACCCAGCGTGAGCAGGCAGTGGGGCGAGTGCGCTCCTCCAGCAGCCCCTCTCCTGTCCTGTCGGCTGAGCCAGTGAGGCCCAGAGAGGGTAGAGGAACATAATAAAAACCAACAATTGCACCCAGCTGATTAATGCAGCCCTGTGGCGATAGTAATTATCCCTCTCCACACTCCTCCTGCACACCAGCCAAACACGTGTGTGGCAGCCAGAGGGAAACAAATTCAGTCTGTTTAGTGCTTTTTGTTAGTCGTCTATTTAAAAAAAGACATGTCTGATGATTTGATTTATTTGGTGAAGGAGGAGCAGATTTTAAACCTAAGCTAGAAGTTTGTAGTGTTTTGGGTTGCTGTGCAGTAGTGTTCACCATATGGACTTACTGCATGGGTGTAGAATCCATAAACATTTGATTATCAGCATCTTTGAATGTGTCTTCAAATTTAATTTCAATTTCTTACAGATGCTTTTGATAGAATAAAAACACTGAGAATAAATAAATAAAAATAAACAGAAGTTAATCCTTTAATGCCAAAAACCGGATAACTCCAAACCAAATCTGTGCAAAATTAACCAAATATATAGATACACCCAAATACAGTATAAAAAACCGATCAATAGTACAGGTCACATTTTAATCTGATTTCTGAGAGCCTGTATTTTCGATTTTACATAAAAAAAAAAAATCCAATTTACAGTACTTGGTTGTGTTATTGTGTAATTACTCGACTATTGCACAACACAGAAACGTTATCAGTCATGATGTGTATCTTACTTCTCTGTCTTTTGTCTTTGTAGTTGAAGTGCTGCATGGTCTTTGTATTGATCACATACATGCTCTTTGGTTACATCAGTACTGCTGTACTTACATTTTCTTGTTCATGTAGAAGAGTAGTTACAAGGGTAGAAAGTAAAAACTGCCTTTCCTTTGTGTGAATGAAGAACACCTTTGTTTTATATGGTGAAATGTTTGAGAAGCAGCCGCTGTGTAGTGAGCTACAGCGGTCTTCATTAGGGCCGTTTTCAGTGGTCGCTTACACACTTGGGTTGAGTCACACTAATCAGATGAGTAGAAGGATCATTCTCCTTGAATGTTTAGGCTTATTGGTTTCCAACTCGGAAGTGAAACAGGAAAAAGGGGAGGAAAAGATCCGGTCAAGGATATTTCAAGAGGAGCACACCCTAAATAAATGAGATAAAAAAAATAAAAATCTAGAAGACCTCAGAGATGAAAGGAAAGAGGAGAGAGAGGAGAATAAAACAGAATGAAAAATTAAAAAAGAGAAACAACGGAGAAGGAGAGAGAGCCCTTAATTTTGTCTCACCTCGAAACAAAGTCATGGTGGACCCACCTGAGCCCTGAGTGGGTTGCAACACACCAGCTATTTTCATAAACCCCTCCTTCCTTCACAAGATGTTTCTGATTTGTTTCCTTTTACACCAGACTTATTTGATTCTTCAGTGTAGTCTGGTTTTCTCTGGACATTAAAGTGTCGACTTTATACTGGCATTAAAAAGACTGACCAAAGTAAAAAAATAAAAAATCAACAGACTTTTTCAAGATTAGCTCATAGACCTGTATAAAATAAGAGACAGAAAAGAAAGAGGTATGTGCTGTGAGTATTTTAGGATACATAATGAGATGACAGTGATTCAATTTTTTAAAAAATTAAACACGTTTTAATTTCTGGATGTATTGTTGGAAGACACCTTAAGTTTAGAGTTAGTTTAGACTTGTTCTTATATCTGTCATTTGATATAAGCAGCAGAAAGTGTTTGTTGAGATAAGTGGTAGCTTCTTCAGAATACATTTGTGAAACAAAAAACAAGTACCTAGAAATCCCTAAATTTATAAATGATATTTTTCTTGAGTCAGAAAAAGACTTCCTTGATTACTTTTTCTGTGAATCATTCTCAATTATATCTTTACTTGTTAAATTTCATATTGCTAAAAACTCATTTTAGATCTATTGAAGCAGAATAAACCTGTTAAAATTTAAAAAAGTTTTTGATGGTAAATTGTCAACCTGCTGCAGTTGTTAGACAAAGTTACACACACAGAGCTCAGAGTGTAATCAGTCCACAGCAAGTTTCCTGCTGAGCCGTCGGGCCGCATGCTGTCTCCTCAGAGAGGTCAGGAGGTCAGACATAAAAGACCAGTTTCCCCATGAATCAGGAATTTAATTACACACAGCCAGTGTGACAGCAAGGCTGTGTCCCTCAACTCGACACAATATGTAATTACTATTTATTGACAGATAACGATTGGGTCTTTTTCACTTTTCAGGATGGAGCTGCTGATTGCACTGACAGTTAACTCTCACACTTCCTGATCTGCTTTTTAATACTTCTGATGAGAAACAATTGAGTGTTTTGTTTATGAGTGCAGACATTTTCTTTGTAAGTCTAAACTTCTCTCCAAAAATAAACCCAATTCCCTTTTCTGTCCATCTGTTCAGTTAGAATGAAGGCCATATCCCAGCAATCAGAGGCACTGAGGATCGGGAATACAACACAAGGACTGGAAACCAGTAAAGGAGAAACTCAAATGAAAACCCAGCGAGCACAAACAGCGTTTAGATCCCTCACTCACTGTGATCTGCTTAAGAGACACACTCTCGGCCTTAGAGCTGAAAATCTGTTTTGCTTAAATACAGACTTAATGATTGGATTACTGTTTCTTGGTTTGGCGATAGCGTGATCGTGGGATTACAGACTGTGCGCTCAATAGATTTCCTGTCAGATGCCATGAAGCCAGGTGTCGCCTCACTGTGTAAGCTGGCCGTCTGAGAGGGAGGGAGGCAGATGAGCCGTGGACTTTGCAATATGGCCCACCTCACAAAATTGGCAACACAAACACAGGAATAAAGCAGAGAAATGAAATGCAGTGATTTATTTTAGCATATGCAAATACAAAAACACCCTGTTGAAGGTGAAACTTCCTCTGTTAAAAAATGAGTTTATGAAAAAATTAGCAGCCTTCCATTTCTAACATGCATAATGCATCCTTAATATGGCATAAAACTTCAATCCTTGACTGAAGAAACCTTTTCCAAACAACCCCACTTACAATTTTAATTCAATTATCCTCCTCTTGTATTCAAAGCTAATGTGAAACAACACATGTCAGTCTTACATTAGTCTCTTTCCCCTCTCTGCCTCATTAAAAACATAAACATATCTCCTCTATTGATTATGTCTGGATGTCTTAATCAGATCAGCGGGAATATCCCTGTTTTTCTCCGCAGGAAAGTACATTAAATGCCAAAATATTGATCAAAGATTTAATTGAGAATGCACAGCTCCTTTATTAAAGCAATTGCCCTCTGCTCCTGTGACTTTGATACAGACTGACATGAAAAGAAAAACGTTGAAATTTATAATTCCTTTTTATTTAAAAGACGGTTGGGAAACAGAGTCTGTCCTGAGGCTTGTGGCGACACAGCTATGCCGTGATCAATAAGAGCGTGTGATGGGTTTTGCATCGATCAGGAAAATGTGGGTTGATGAAGTGGGTTGGAGGGAAAGGCAGGGTGTGTGTGTGTGTGTGTGTGCAGCGATTTGGGTTTCCTCTGATGGCTGCTACATTACTTAGACATGGTAAAGAGCCACTCAAACTTGTCTGTCGTCATCATTATTATTACAGTTTGTGCCGAGGTCATTAACACTGACAATTTCTGACATCCTGACGCTTTCAGACTCGTACAAACGGTCTTTGAAGAAGGGAGAAAAATACCACCAAATTCACGCTTGGGCCTTTTTATCTAACAAAATTGGATTGTTCTGTAAAAACTTCACACACCACTCAGTTGCTTTTGGATGGCACGTGTAGTTAATTCGTTCACACCGCAGGATGATAAACAATTTAAAAACAATAGTGTCATACTTGTAGGCCCATACATGTTGCTATTCTTAGAGGCAGGGTGTTTACCACTGTTATGCATTTTCTGTAAATGTGTAATGCACCGAGGCATCATGGGACAATGTGGTAACAGGGGCAGATTGATGAGGAGACTGCCAAAGTGTAGTTTCAGAGAACAGTGCTGTCTGTGTTTGCATGTTCATGCATGTGTTGCTCCAACTGTGTGTTTGTAAGAGCTTCAACCTATTAAAGGCTCATTTATAAGAGGATTTTTGAGACGGAGATATGCACACAACAATCCAGATCTACTCCATACTAAAACAGAGTAGCACAAAGACTCTTAAGGGCGTACAGAGTTGGTTACATGTATGTATGGGATTTAAAAATGCATCAGGTTAGGTAACAGTATGAGCCAGAGTCACCAATGTCTTAAAACATCATCAAAAACTGTTTAAGCCGGAAACAAGAAGGAGCAAAACAAAACTCCACTGACATGAAATGTGTACTGTGCCTGTTTTAAAAATGCTGTTTTCAAACTAAAAAGGGTTTCTTAACGCTTCGATGTTTATCGATGTTCTTCGATGATTGCTAAAACAATGTTAAAAGCAGCTGTCTTTACTGTAAAGAAAGGCCCATTGTGGAAAAAATAGGAAGGATAAAGAGAGGATAAGGAGTAAAGGGGAGCAGTGAAGCTCTGTAAACCAAAACTGAGCTTTTTAAAGCTTTGTTATCAAACCTGCAGTAAAGGTGCTGCTATTTCTGTTGCTACTGTGCACTTCAGTTTTCTTCTGCAGATATAAACAGTGACTGTTGCTAAAAAAGCTTCTCATCTATCATCCTATCTCTCCATTCATCTGTATTTTCATATGTCAGTCTTTGGTTTTGTCTCTCTGTCTTACAGTAGGGTCTGCTGTGTCTGTGTTTTGCAGCGCTCCCTTGTGAATGACTGGACACAGACTGCTCCCCCGTTAGCTCCTCCCACTTCAGTAATCCCTCCTCCCCTTTGGATACTCGTAGGGCAGCCTCCCTGAAAGTGACCAATTGCTGCATCCCTATATGTACCAAACCCCTCCCCCCGCTGTTATAGAGCCCCTGTGTCTTCAATGGAGACTCAATCCCCTCATTGACTTCCTCAGACTGCGTGTGCTCCTTCACTGCTGCTCTCCATCCATCCTTTCCCCTCTGTCTTCTACTCTCTCTTTTTCTCTCCATCTCTCCTCTGATCTACTCCCTCTCTTGTTCTTGACACTCACCTAACATTTTCTCTCTTTATCTCTACATCAGTGTCTCTCTCCTCTCACCACTATACTCTTCCTCTCTCCACACATCATCCTAAGCCCAGGTGTACAGCACCTGTGCAGACTGGAGTTTGTCGGGCCGAGGCAGAAGGTGTTTCTCTTTCTTTTTTTTGAGTGAGGGGAGGGGAGACAACACCCAGGAACGCCTGACCAACATTTCATCCAGATATGTGGAGACACAGGAACTGATCCTCTCTTCTAGCTTCTCCTGAGCTGTTTGTTTTTCTGTTTTTTAACTGGAACAACTGGAATGCATAACGTGGACTGATGGATGTTTCCGAACTGTGCATCCCTGACCCTCTCTGCTACCACAACCAGTAGGTGCATCTTTTCCCTTCTCTTTTGTTTCAGTTTTAGTCAACAAAAATCCATTTCAATATTTTTTTAAGTTGAGAAAAAATCTTTAATATCTAAACAATTAAGGACCAAAATCCCACACTGAAAGTGAACTTTCTAGTTCCGAGTCTGCGGTATAAGCTCAACTCCAGTTCTCTCTGTATGGGACAGCAGAGTCATTTGTGTCAGTGAGGCTGCAGTAGTGCAGCCTGCAGGGTGTCCAGGTCGGACCGCTGCCCTACAGCTGTCTCGCTCTGCATTAGGATCCAGGGTTTAACCTCAGCCGCAGGGAAAAGCCAGAGGCAGATTAATGCGGGCGATATTGGACTATCCTTTGGCAGCTGCTGATGTCCGGCTGTGTCCCACTGAGAGAAAACTGTGACTGTACTGTAGCCCAGTCTGAGTGAAAGTGTGTATGTATCTGTGTGTGTATGAGTGTGTTCTTGAAAGACAGGTGACAGGTGTTTGTTTGCTTTGTGATTTTGCACTTTCCTAATTTGGTTGTTTATGATTAAATTATTCCTAAATTATATTAATTAACTACACAAACTAAGGGATTTAAAAAGTGTCAGTATACAAAAAAGACAATGCTCCACTTTGCACGTCATTTAGTATTCAGTTTATAAGTAAAATTTGATTTACATTAAGTCAGGAAACAAACCGGCAGAATAAAGCAGATCTGAACTTCTGCTCTGGCTGTTTCTGTTTAGTTACTTCACTTTGCTCATTGCATGACTGGTAAGACCCTCTCATCTTGACAAAACATGACTGGACAGAAAGACCCTTACTTGGATCCTCAACATGTTAAGCTGAAGATGGGATTGTAACGGTTTAACCTGCTCAGTGCTTTTGACAGGACTCTTATTACCTCTACGAAGAAAAAAGGAAGTCCTTTGGTGATTCAAGCAGCACTCTAATCTAATTCAGCCTGTGCATAAAAGAAAGAAACTTAAACTCAAGATGCATGAAAAACTCCTAAAATGGACACTTAATCAGCTAGTACATGTTTAGTAAGAAATATGTTAAAATAGTTTATCAGTTTATCAGAAGGCATCAGTAACAGTTACAAGTTTGAGAGAGAATTTTTCTCTGCACTTCACAGGCACTCAATACCAATTTAAAATTCACATCTTTATATATAAATATTTTTTTCTTAAGTTTTTATTAGCAAATTTTACTAGAGTAATATAGAGAATACATCAACAATTAAAACTGTAACTAGTGGCATGTTTATCATCAAGTTAGTAAATGTATTATAGTGGGTTTAACGTTTTTCCTGGGATCTTACAGAGGCTTGATTTCTTCCCCACGTGTCAAAGTACAAATCCTTCCCACATTTTATTTTTTAAAGCTTTGACGTTTTGTACAGATTGCAGAATGGTTGATGAAAAAAAAAGCATTTCCTTGAACCTGTTAAACTACATCGTTTCGACTTTTACAATTCACTTTAAACGTTACAAACATTTGAGTTAATTGGAGTTAAGTAGAAAAGGCAACAATGCAGGACTTTTAACCCAAACCTATCCATGTCTTATCATGTACAGTGTCTGTATGTGTGTGTGTGTGTGTGTGTGTGTGTGTGTGTGTGTGTGTGTGTGTGTGTGTGTGTGTGTGTGTGTGTGCGTGTGCGTGCATGTTTTCACTGTGTTTTTGAGAATGACTGCATGCTCAGATCTGTATGTCCCCCTGCATGTACAGAAACATTTACGTGGTGAACTGGTTGCGTGCACGTTAACGTACCATATAAAAGTGTTTATATTAGACGTTCAAAGTCTGAATCCATAAATGTTTCTGAGATTGACTTCTCTGTGTATCACAGAACTCTTTGGTCACATTGGACAGAGCATTTTCACTTGTTCTCCCACGTTAGAGTTGAACAAGAACTTACAAAGCTAATATCTTTGGACATGTTTTACATGATTACGCTTTGAAATCAGTGTTACATTTTCAAAGGTTAGTGAAGCTTGCGTCAACGTCTTCACAGGCACCCCAAACCAAGATAGCAAATCCTTTTGAATAACTGCACTTAAAAACAGTTTCAAATCTGCACTATTTGCCCTGAAAAGAGAAACTTCAATAACTAGTCAAATTGTCTGTCCGTCTAAATTTGCCATCATCATTACATTGTCATCCAGTCAAACATATGACAAATGAACATATGAAGTCTTCTTATGATGGCCTCACTGAAAATCTGTGTATGTAGTGTCACATAAAGCTGTTCTGTATGTGACACTAAAGAGGTTTGTCTTCACAGATGCTATTAATAACTCTTAAAGGACATTTGGCCCAACGACTCCACCAGCTCGGGGTGAGAGGTCTCAGGACTGTTTGTCCCACTGTCACGCCATCAGTCTGAGGAGGCAAATATACTTTTACAGCAAGGATCACAGGTCTCATTAATGCTGGAAATTTGAAAAAGTGTTCATAGATTGATTAATGGAGCTGCATGGAACTGTTTCCTCCTCTAGTATTATTATTTTTTTTTTTTCTTAAAGGAAGGAAAAAGTTTAACATGCAATAAATATTTTAGTGTTTAGAGATGGGACATGCAGTGAGATGAAAAGTTCTTAAGTGCCAACATTTTTTGGTTAACTTCAACTGAGGCATACTCACAGCTATCTTTTTTTCCTGTCCCTCGGGTTTCTAAATCGGTTGCAGAAAAAGCGTTTTTGTTCATAGCTCCCTCGGACTGGAACAATCTTCCAGTATAGATACAGTATCTATCAGGTCTGTTACCTCCTATCATTCCTTTAAAAATGCCCATCCCTCTTACTTCAAAATTAACTGTACGTGTTATCAAGAGCATGACCACTTCACCTGCTGAACTTTAACCATGCCATGTTCCGCCTGTAAATATTCGTCTCTTGAATGTGATTATTACTGCCCAGAACGCTCACCACAAACTGAACCATTCTAGCTCAGATATGCCACTAGAAGGATCTGGTGAGTTTGTATGCTTATCATAACCTGATCGCTTGGTTCTGTCTTTTGCGTTTTTGGTTTTTTATTTTCTTGATTTGTAGGTATTTACTTCTGTCTAGTTTTTTGACATACTAGGTTACTTCTGTCGTGTACTGTTCTGTTTGCTTTTCGCTTTGTACAATGGTTTGTAAACCTTTCTTTCAAGTGTGTATTTAAAGGATCCCCTTGAAAATGAGATGACACATCTCAAGGGGTTATTCCTATTAAAGATTATTATTAAAAAGGTTGCAGATGTAAGTGTAGGATCAGGACAGAAACTAGATCAGAGTGTATTAATTTGTCCGTTACTTTTTAAAATTATTTTTCTGCTTTATCAGTCAGATCATTTTGAATTATTCAGGACAAAATATTTCCTGTGGTTCTGTTTGTGTAGATACTTCTTTTGTTGAAGACAATCCTTTTATATTCATAAATACTAGATTCCTTCCAACACACAGTTTTACTCCTTTGTTAAATTTTCTATCGCTGCATCATTTACACTTCAAGTTGAAATCTTGTTTATGTTTATTTGACTGTAATAACTCAGATCCGTTTTTCTCCCGTCCCACCTGCTGTTCACACTGGTGCCCTTGCAAGCATACACAGGCATATATAACCACTGCTGTCAGATGTATGCACACACACATATTCACACACACGCATAAACGGAGACAACCACAGACACACTTAACACACGTGCACGCACATATGTACAGATGAGAGCAAAGAGTCACACACTGACCTGAGCTCTAATTTTAGTGGAGTCACATCATGGAAACAAACACCTGACTGCGTCTGTTCAGAGAGACACATCAGCGTATCATGCAGTGAATCTGGATTTGTTTGGGGAATTACTCACATGGTCATATTATGTTTTAAAGAGTTAGTGAGTGTCGTTATCATTTACTCAAGATTAAAAAGTCAAAATAAGGATTACATTTTATTTACACAATGTTTTTATTGTTTCAAGTGGTATTTTATTGAATTTAGTAAAGGAATGAGCTAATAAAAACATCATGGAAGATTTGCTGTGTGAGAAAAAATAATCAAGATTTCAATATAGCCGAATATTTTAACCATTAGCAGAAATATATTTCCTGGAAAAGCCTCCTGACATAGTCTATCTTATTTCAAACCAAAGTATTTAACTATTACAGCTACAAAGTTAAACAAATAATATGACACATTGAAAGGTCACGGTGACGCTAATTCTAAGTTTTCAAGTCCGCTACACAAAAACTAAAATTTAATATGCGATTCTCGGCTTATAATTGATCCTCAAAATCTTTTTTTGTACCAGAAACAATCCATTTATTTTGGCGTTTAAATCCTACTGTCTTGAGTGTAAACATATGAGACTGGTGTTCTGCTGGCTGGTCAATCACTCTTGAGTAAAAAAAAATTTGGCTGTTTCAAGCGCACCTTTCTGCACTTCAGTAACATAATCGCGTTGCTTTTTTGTTCCAAAATGGATGGAAATTTTAAAACATGACACCAGGGTTGAGATATAATTCAAATTTAAGTATGACAGGCTGCTGACAGAACCAGTGAAAACAACTGGGCCGCCAACAATACCCAGACCAATGACGGACAGAGGGAGCAGGTGGTAGGTCAGGGTTGTGTTGCGTTCCCATTGTGCAGGAGAAAAAGCTTCTTTTCAACTTTTATTTGAACACCAGTTTAGTTTAGTTTGTTAAGTTTTATTGGAAATAGAAAGAAATATTTCCCCCTCCTGCTCTTCTTTCGGTGCTCATACTGCCGTGTTTATTATTGGCTGCTGCATAAGCGGTCCGCTGTATGAGTGGAGCTGTGTAAGCATCAAGAAAGGAGAAATAACTTCATTACATGTCATGACCCTTTCTTGATATAGATACAGCCTTTAGGCAGCCTGTCAAGGACTCTGAATCCATCAGCATAAAGATGGATGCACCTCTGCAGCGGCATATCAATCAAAACACAAATGTTCATTTCATGAAAGCAAGCTGCAGAGACGACTTCTTGGAAAGAGTTTGTTTTATTGATCAAATTAAAATTAACACACACAGTGAAAGAGAGTGCGTGTAATCATGGAGTGTGTGTCGGCCGGCATGTTTAGTTTAATGGGCCTCATCGTGGCTTCACGAGGTCTCACATTGTGAACTTAATTCCTCTTCAGCACATTCATTTGCATTGTGTCAATTGACCGGAGCGCTCACTGTATCAGCCTGAGTCGCACTTGAAATTCATCCCATGCCCTAACACCATTAGGCAAATGCAAAGTTGTGTCATTTACACTTTTGGAGGAGAGGAAAAAGAGGAGAGAGAGAGAGAGAGATGGAGAGAAAAGCCAATTTGCAGCGGACAAGACTGGCTTGTGATTATCAGTGGATGTTATTACTGTGGAGGAGCAGACGTTTGAAGGTTATGTTTCTGGGCAGTAATTGAAATGCAAAATAACATTAGGATCGATGGCCATCTCTGTTTATTTATGAAATCAATATCGTAACTGTCCCTCACGAGTCCCCCTCTGATTCCCAATGACGGCTTAAGTCTCCACTCGTTTATTCTTTCGCCTTTTTCTTCTTCTGTCTCCTTTTTAAAAGGCAGTTAGGGGTGTGTTTGACTTTGCAGAGAGAGCAATTTCCTGGAGGTGCAGGACGTGTATGTAGATGGGGGCCGATACTCCAGGTAAAGAGACATAATCCATGTGGGAAATATATGCACTCGCTCCTGGTGGCAGTGACATTGAAGAGGCCATATGCTGGAAGTTAGCTGTTCATAAGTGTTTGTGTGAGTACGGCCCCTGGTGTGTGTGGTGTGTAAGGTTGTGTAATTAAGAGTGACAGAGAAGCTGAACCAAAGTTTATCTTCCAATCAGTACAAAAAATATGACAACGCAGTCAGAACTTGAACTAAAAGTTCTTTAATCATGTTTTTTTGAATTCCATCATCTAGACAAAAGACCCACTTGCAGCACTTCAGTTTCCTGATTTTTAAAGAACAGATTTTTTTTTTAATTAAGTTCTTTGAAATTCTCTAAAACTCCTTAGATAAGATTAGATAAGATAATATGATAAGATCATAAGACCACATAGATAAGATGTCATTTTTGATAGTTCCAAAAAAAGGTCCACTCTTCTAAACAGGTAAATACCATCATGCTAAAGTTTAATTAAAAACAGTAGTCATAGAATTTAAAAAGATTTCTGTGATGAGTTGTTACAAGCGGTAACGGGACTGTCACTGACCTCTTGAGTTTTTTCATACAACATAGGTTTTTTTATCCAAAGTAAAACTTGGAAGTAGGTTCACACATGAGGTTTAAATAATTGGGCATTTGGTATCTGCTGATATCGATACCCAGCCAATACATTGGTACATCCTTAGTAACACGGCCAACTTTATTATGATCAGAGAATTTATTCTTATCCTCAAATACAGAACTTTAGTGACGGGTGTAAACCCTTGTGTTAGAATAATTGATTCAAAGCGACTTATTGGATTAGACAAATTTCTGCACAAAACAAGAGACGATCCAACTTCACCTTTGAACAATATGTCAAATTACTACTCTACTAGCGACAAATTTCAGGTAATTTTGGTGATCATTTACAGGAGTTTGCTGGGGGTTTTTTTAAGTGTTTGCTTCTTATGCTTCTGTACAAAAAAAATAAACTCTACATCTCTGAGTTTTTTTTACCACCGGGTGGTTAAAACAGCATGAATTATAAGTCTGCTTTGTCTCTTGGACACTTTAAAATGGAGATTTTTCATGTTTTTGGTTAATTTACAGAAAAATAAACAGATTTATTAACACAAAAACAGAATAGTCTAAGAGCTGAACTAAGCACAACATAATAAAAAACCCCAATGAAATACACTCCTGATATGTAAAAGTTCTCCACAAAGACGACACAAAATCTTACAATTAACTACAACATGAAGGTTAAAAATAATCTGAGTTTGCTGAGCTGCTGAAAATGACAGTGAACTATCTACAGTAAGGAGGCGAAGACTAAACCATTTCCTCCTAATCGAGGCTGGTTACAGTGCAGACACAGGTCCTCACAAACTGCACTTACAAAGAAGTAGAATTGTGTGTGTTCAATAACCGAATAAAGAAGTACCAAGGTTTAAATACATGGCTGTATCGTGACAAAAATCCACATATTATCATAACAATGCAACAAACGCTCTAATCTTTCTCTGGGATACTCTCCATTATTTTCAGCAGTATATGAATCACACATTTAAATGTAAGAACACACACTTTTTTTGCTGACCTTCATTTGTGCCAACAGCGTGACACACACATGTTGTTGTTACTACTTAACACTCGGCCGACACACGCCACCACATTTTCCCGCTCGCATAACCATTCATTTCCCAGACTCCCCGGCTGTGGACTCACGGTGTAATCTATGTGTCAGGCAGAGAGGGGCACTCCGTTTAAAGCTGATAGAGTTTGCCCCAAACAAGGACAGCCTATCATAGAAAGATTAATGAACTAATTTCATGCATGGCTCCTTGCCTCTGTCCTTCTGAGCTTCCATGTTCGGCTGTGTGTTCAGCGCCGTGATTTATGCCGCACTCCCTACTACAGGCTTAACCCCAAGCTCAACAATAACATTTCCCCTCAGTGGGGAAATACTTAGTAGAATATGGTGAACGGGATTTTTAACCATCTATCTCCAAAAAGCTGGAGTTTATCGTGGGGAACTATTTTGAGTGTGCATTTTAGATTTATTTCTGTTTTTGATCTTTTTTTTATACTGATTGTGAAATTTATTGTGCAGAATTTTTGGGGCTGCAGATATAATTTATGGTTTAGAGAAGAGGTGGACGGATTCAGGATTTATGTAGGGAAGCAGGGGATCTGTAACACTGCCAGTATTAGGAGGCATGCCAAAACACACACACACACACACACACACACACACACACACACACACACACACACACACACACACACACACACACACACACACACACACACACACACACAAACATTTTAGAATTTAAGCTGCTCTGGCGGGACCTCTTCACACCCATCGCACTTTGGCCGGCAAACAAAAGTATTTAAACCAAAAATTAAAAAAAAAAAATTCACTGATCTGAGGAGCATGTGAGGCTGTGTCTGGGTCAAATGAAACATAATGGACAGCTCTGTAGTGCTCTCTTTTTTCACTGTGCTGAACAGAGTGAAACCTGTGTGTCTTCTGCTCGAAGGCGTCTATTGTGATCCCGTCTGGGCCTCTAAGAGCAGTTGAGCAGAGACGGCAGGTGACCTTCACATCTGTCTGATGAGTAGTGCTTGTCCGCTCCGTTTGTACCATTTTTCTGCACGGCAGAGCAAACACTACCTTATTAGATATGAGGTGCAATACGCGTGTTTCAGTGTGTGTGTTGCCAATAGAGGTGGGTTAAGGAGAGTCAGTCTGTATGTGGAAAACTCAATGTCTCTTAATAATAAGAAGAGGAGGGACTAAATTATAAAACTATGAAGCTATTTCCGTCTGCATGAATTGGCGTCTCGTGCCATTATTTCATTTCGACAGATTTGAAAGGAGCCATTAGAAATTTCCATTAAAGCTAACAAAAAACATCTCCCCTGCGTTACTGTGTGCTAAGTGTGGAATGAACTACTTTTTACATACGGCACAACGCACTACTCCACAGGGGATTCCCCCCTATCTGGCTGCAATGATGTATTAACTGTTAACACGCTGCTCCCTCCAATTCCCTCACACGGGAGAAAATACACCTTCCAATTGAGTGTGGGTGCGCTGATTGCTAACAAGATTTAACGTGAGCCCTGTGAATCTTTTATAAACCACAATGTATTATAAGATAATGTTGTATTGCTCCGTCTCGCACTGTGTTAACAGTCCTGGTTGATTAAAAATGCATAAGGAATGTCTGGGACCCGTAAGAGGAGGGTTTATTTTTTCATCTGGAGCAGGAAGGAAGCAGAGGATCAATAGATCTGATCTGCACCCAAGGGTGAAGGCCATCTCTTCCTCCTGTTAGCAGTAAAAAGAGGGGTTTCATGTTGTCAGGGCCTGATGACTTCATGGCTTTATTTAAACACGTATTCAAAGAGAGGTGGAAAGTGGCTCCTTACCACAACAGCTGATTCAAAAACTACAGACAACAACCCCCAAACAATAAGAATAAGAAATCTGGGCTTCCTCGCTCATTTCACTTAGAGACTCGGAGGGCAGAAATTGTGTGATTTCAACATCAACTCTGACTGACAGAGACAGCAGTGCTGACGTACTCAGGCCTCCTGTTTTGTGAAAGAGGGTTTTATTAAGGCCACTGAAGATACAAAAACATACACAGGGCTGAAGAGTCACTCTTCAAGAATAGCACTGAATGTGTTGGTCAGTCACCAGGTCAAGTTTTAAAGTGCATGAGGACTTTTGACTACTGAAAGGGAGTGAAACCTGGGTTTACAAAGGACCTTGTACCCTATTTTTAAGAGACAAAAAAAAACAGTCACAAGCAAATCCTTGTGCAAAAACACACATCAAGAATTGTTAAGCTTATTTTTGAGTAAATTATTAAAGTTGCAAAACAGTTTTAAAAAACAGCACCTTGGATGGGTGAAAATACTCCTATAACCCTGTTGCTACTGCTACTGCAACTGCTGCAGGACAGTCACCCTCAAACTCTCTTCAAAGTAGCCATTGTGAACATACCCAAACTTGGTAGCAAGAGAAATTATTTCTTGGTAGTTGAAATAACGTCAAAAATCTGTTCAACATTTTTGCTTTAAGGCTTTATCAGTGAAATGAGCAAAATCCACAACTTGCGTTCCGATCCCTTAAAGCTGATCCCAAACTTCACCACATTGAAGAGAGCAACGCAACCATGGTTATTTTAAAACAAATTTGTACTTGTTTTATTTTCTGCAGCTATGTCATAAACAAATGTATTTGTTGTCATTGACGATACACAACTCACCTTTTTCTTTTTTCCCTTTCAGCTTTATTTTTATTTTTTGAGACAGCTGTTGCAAATATGCCTGCTCCACAAATACACTGAATGTTCCCAATACACTTATTGATATTTTCCCCAACAAATAAACCATAATGAATGAATTAATGAAAAATAAATAACCTAGTATTGAATTTTATGTTGAAAATGGAAAAAGAGCCAAGTCATCTAATTAACAAGGTGATTTAAAGTGACACTGGGATGCATTTGAGGTCAGGTCTAACAGGTGATAAAGGTTAATATCATAATTTTATTATTGTTTGTAAGTTTTATGTTTCATTGAAGGTCTGTTTCATATTAGTTGTGATTATAAAAGCAAAGATGTTTTTCATCGTGCACAGAAACACACGTTAAAGCATTAAAGCTGGCTGAAAAAGTCTAATATCTCTTTGTCGACCAAAGAGACAGCAAACTCAATATAGACTCAGATCATCAAGGAAGCTTGATAATGGTATCCGTATTGATGAAAATAAATAAATAAATAAAAAAAACTCATTCCTACTAATAAAATAATTTTGTGTTTAAATCACCTGAAATGTTACAGGACAAATTCGACGCATATTTTGGTTTCAGTGAAGATAAGAACAACTAAGAAATAGTTGTGTTTCTGTGATGCGATTTACATTTAACTATCATCTCTTCAATTTTAGTTCCACATCAAACTTGCAAATGAAATGGCATTTGAAACAGTCACAAATTTAGCCTTTACAGTTAGTAAATGCAGACACTTGCTGTTATCAAAAAACAACCTAATAGCTTCATTGGGGGGTGGGGGGTGTAGGATGCTTTCGTGAAGGCAACAAAAGTAGTATAGCTAAAAGTCATTTAAAAGTGGTAAAGACTGGAAAAGTAACACTTTTCCACATTTTTAAATAAAATTTTGGACTGTGGAACTTAATCTTGGGTCAGCACCTCTTTCTCTTCCTCTCTCAGACCTCTCCCTTCAGTCCAGTGTAACCCGGCACCACCCCTTGGCAATCTAACTGGGACTATTGATCGGGTCATGTATTGCCCATGATGCTCCATATGCTGAGTGTAACACCTCTCTGTGTCCATTAACAGCCTACTGAAGTTTCATTCATTCATTTAGTCCTGGCAGACGACCAACTGTGGGCATTGTTTGCGAGATGTATGGAGCATCTGTTGACAAGCTCGTTAGTTACCATTTTGCTGCAGAGAAATAAGCCACAGTAGTAGATCGCCTAGCATTCCTATACATAAATGGCCATGTCAGTAACATAATATATCAAACTCGGATAGACTGAAGCATCACAGCTGATGAATTTCTCTGATACTTAGGCGATGATCAGGCCATGATGGAAGAAGGCGAGCATCAGAACATCTTGTTAGACTTCACATGACAGATCAGCTAGGATAATTTCCTTGACACTGAAGTTTCTGCTGTAGAGTTACTTGTTACGATGTTCCTTAAGGCTGTTCAGACAACCTGCGCTTGTTTGCATGCGGAGTAAACATCTAATGTCTCATTTATGTTGTTTGGACTTCATGAAAAGATTAAACAATCCATAATCAATCTGAAGAAATCTTTTTTGTCTGATATTTTTAAAAATAATACTTTAAATGTTAAATTATTTTGTTGAAAAAAATGTCTTCATGTTCATTGAAAAAAAAATTATGATTTTTGTTTTTATAAAGTTTCATTGTGGGTGTTGCATTGTGGGACATTCATGTAAAAAGTTTTCCAAAAATCCTGTTTTGCTTGGTTGTTTTTGTTTTTTTTTTGTTATGGATTCTTATGTGCGTACTCTGTTTGTGTTGAGGCACGTCTTCATTTTAACACAGCATTTATCCAGTATTCAAACTGTAAAAATATGAAACTGAATTATCTCTTACATTTCTTTGTCAGTGTGCAAATCTTTCTTTCTTACTCTAACCTTACATTGGTGAACCAGTGATTGGCAAACACCTCTGTCGTTTGTTTTGTTGTTCTTCAGGCACTGTCTGTTAATATGTTGCTCACACAAGATGTCCGTTTGATTCATTTTTTCACAAACTTTTAAAAAACCTGAATACAGCTCTGTGTGTCTTATTCCAGGTTGCTGAACAGGATGCCCACTGAGGACAGACACCTCTCTTCAAGCTGCGGTTCTTACGTCAAAACTGAACCATCCAGTCCATCCTCCTCCCTCATAGACACTGGGAGCCACCACAGTCCCAGCGGCAACTCCGACGCCAGCGGAGGCTATGTGAACGGCAGCAGACACCCCCACACCCTTGACTCCCCGCCAATGTTCAACCCAGGCATGCTGGGAGGCAGCGCCGCCTGTCTGCGCCGCTATGAGGACTGCTCTGGTGGTATGGCAGACGACTCGCCAGTCAAGTGCGAGTACATGCTCAACGCCATTCCCAAGAGACTTTGCCTGGTGTGTGGCGACATCGCCTCTGGTTATCATTACGGGGTGGCCTCATGTGAGGCCTGCAAAGCCTTCTTCAAAAGGACAATACAAGGTATTTTCTGCTTTTTTACAACTTTTACTTATTCACTCCAATGCCTGAGAATGACAATGGTAACAGTGCTTGTAATTTCTCCAGGTATTAAAATTGTCAAAATAGAAAACGTTATTCCAGAAATCATGATGAAAAAGTACCTTTTGTATAATGACTCTGGATACATTTCACTCACTTTATCATGACAGCGTTGATTACATGAGCAGCATATTTACCTTGTCAGAAACGGATTCATCCGTCCCGTCGAACCCCCTGCTTTAAAGGAGTAGTACGTGGTGGTGATTGAGAGTCGACAGCAGACTTTGGTTTGGGCTTTTAAAAGGGATGCCTTCTGCTTCCGTCAGAGGTGTTCTGGTTGGGTTGGACCAGTAGGAGGCCTACAGAGGGACCTTAGGCTTGCTGCAGGGAATGTTTATCCCATCTAGTCTGGGACCATCATTAGATATCACAGGAGAAGCTAGAAAAAGTTGCTGGGGGGAAAGATGTCCTGGCTAACTAGTTAAGACCCCCACGACTTTATCCTTGATATGCAAGTGGTGGTCATATGGTGTGGCTGTCTTGGTCTGTGTTCTCTGTATATACATTTTTGCTAGTTTTCAACATTGTTTATTTCATTTGTTTTATTTGTTGGTTCTATTGTGGGGACAATAAAGTGTATTGCATCGTCATCTTAATGAGTCATATTGTATCGTATAGTATTGTACTATACTGTATTGTATCATATTGTATAATGTCATAATATCGTATCGTACTGTACTGCACCGTATTGTATGAGTGCAAGATAATGGATGGGTGGAATTTTATATCCAAAGCCGAAAACATACAGGATCCATAATGAGTGCGTTCTATCAGCGACACGTCTCTGCTCCATCGAGCAGCACTGTTTATCGCCCACAGGATGCATATTTGGAGCGTAGCAGCAGCGAGGTGCAGCCTCGGTCAGTTGGACTCAGTATAGAGGAAACAACATGCTCACAACAGGTTGCTTTGCCTTTCTGTGGTCTATTTCCTGCTAATTTGGATATAATTCAGTAACCATTAAGCCTCTACTATATGTGAAAAAGCAATGTGATTTTACAGTTTTGATTTTTGCAGGTTTACTGGTGTTTAAACGAGTAAACTATGTTCCCCTATGCCTTTAGACAGAGTTAGCAATTAAAAGTCCTGTTGGGGTCCACATGGATCAGGGATTGACCATCATATTCTTCCATGTTACTGATAAATCCATAAACAGGAAGTATTTCTCATCTACATGAACTGATACACAGTCGGGAGTTCGCATATGGTGTTTTATTTTGAATTTTACTGGATGACATGCACGGTGTTTGTGCTTGACATCCTGTCTAGAATGATCTTCTCTGTGTAGATTGACGCATGTTGGAAGCGTAGAGCAGGAAAAATAGACTCAGCGCATATCTTAAGCAGAACCGCGTTCAACGCACTGCATTGATTGCTGCATTGATTAGAATGGCAACCTACTTGCTGCGTGATACACAATGCTGACAGAAAGCACTGAATACAGAATTGAGTATTTCTGTTACGTCCGTTAGCTTGAAAAGTTTTGCCAATACAAAAAGAAAATGGCGACACCTCTTCCCTGATGTGTCTTTGCCAAATTTATGTATACAATAACAGTTAAGAGGAAAACTAATGACATTCATCATGTATCTAAATAACTTTGATGCTCACCAGACATTTATAAAAGGCTGTCAAGCTGACAGAATATATGTTTAATTTCCTCAAAATTAAGGACAGATTTTCAAGGCTCATGCTTTGGTATGCTCAACCCATAGTGTTTGTCTTCATCCCAAGTCAGTTGTGGGGCTTCTTTTCACAGGTCCGAATATCAACACAATAATATTTCAGAGTAAAAATCATCTTCAGAAATGTTTGAAAGAATCACAGATATTGTGCGGATTGTTTAAGAGGAAAAAGAAAAGAAAAAAGCTGTTTTAAGCTTATAATGACATTTTAGCCTTATATTTGATTCTTGTATCTGATCAATAACTAGTAGTTTTAAGGCTAGGTCTGTCTCACAACAGTGACAGAGTGTAAATGTTGGACACGTGACTTTGTGTTGTCTTCTCGCTCTTCTTTGTGGAGGACAGGCCCGCAATGGACCTAATCTGTCCGTCACTCGTTCTGAGCCGCTGGTGCTTCAGTCAATAACAATCAGTGTAGGGTGACTGTAATTAAGAAGCAGCATTTCATTGGGAGAAAGTCAAGAGAGGAGGAGGAGGAGGAGGAGAAGGGTGGGAGGTGTGGATCTGTTCTTTGCCCCCAGGCCCCTCCAGCCCACACCCAAGAGGGGCAGAGAAGGGGGGGACCAATTAGAGGCTTAGGCACATGTTTCCAGGGGGAATAACAGAGGGAAGAGAGAGGGATGAAGAGGAGTCCTCCAAATGAAAGGCAGAGGGACAGTGGGGTAGGGGATGTGGTCATTTACTGAAAGGAGAATTCAGTTTAATGGAATGGTAATCAGGGAGGGAGGTCCCGGCCTCGCTAAAGAAGGAGGGCAAGGAGAGGTCCGTCCTGAGTGGAGACGAGTGCGTGGATAATAGCATGGCATAACAATATATCAAAATTTAGAGGGAAAATAAGAGAGGTTAAGGAAGGATATTAGAGTGGCTGACATGTCCTTTGAGGAATAAAGGTGGACACAAGACCTGATTAACTAAGAGGCTACACCGACAGTGAGCTTTTAGAGGCGGGCAATTCAAGACTATTGTGGACCCCAATGCAACACACAGAGACGGACAAACACACACACACACTGGCACAGGTTGTTTTTGGTCTTTTTAGGTATTGAATGTTTTCTCTGACAGTCTTTCAAAATCGAAAAAAAAAAAGATCAAGAAACAAAAGGTGGGAAAAGCTGATAAGCCAACTGTGACAATAGTTGTCTGACCAAAATGATCCTTTTTATTTACCAATGTATGATCATTGTACTAACACTAAATGGTGGAAACTTTTTATTTCTTAAAATCTGACACTTTTATGATATATATTAATACATTCTCTATGTAAATGGGACAAGACAGTTGAATTTGTTTGAAAAAGAAAAACTATACAGTAATGCGTAAGCTGATGCACAGCGTGTGTCTTCACAGCTACACTGTGCTGCCTCAGTTTATAAGACTCTACCCACCATGAAACCTGCTGCAGCCTCTGCCAACATGCTGCCAAGAGGCCTCTGCCCCTCACTGTGCATGTGACCCCGCGGCTCTGTCCATGCCAGGGATCCTGACAAATGTTGGCACCTTCTCCTTGACCAACAGGGGATTGTTTGTGTGTATTAAGGGGGTTGCTGGTTTGCTGTTTCAAGTTACATTAATATATATCCATGGACTTTGATGTAACATTCACACAAATGGTTCAGATACTCAAGTTAAAGAGCTAAATACAATGAAGTAAACCTTGAGGGGGAAAGGCAGCAGTTACCGCAGTGATTAAATTGCGCAGACATATTTCTGTCGTGAGCCAACAATCTTCGAGACGTACTTGAATTATACATCAAGCTTTGTTACATGATAGGTGTACCTACGATTTTGGAGTCTAGACTAACAGCAGCTCTCAGTCTTTCATAGAGAACATTATGCAGAGCACTTGGTTGTGCATCCATCTCTGAGCCTTCATGCTGTTGAGGCAGGGCAGCTTTCCCATCATCCTCCAGGTGAAGAAGGATGGGCTGCACAGGGTCGTGGTGAGCGCTGCACAGAGGACGCTCTGCATTAATGAAGCTAATTTATCTGTGAATCAGAGAGGGGGGAGGGGCTCCAGGGCGGGGAGATGCTTTTTACATGTCCCATCAAAATTCTGCTAAACCCTCCTCTCCTTCAGGGGTGTCACACGAGGTCACCTTGGGACAAGTGTGTGTGTTACTGTCTCTCTCTACCTCCCCACCTCCTCCTTCATACCATCCCTCCCAGTACAAGGACGATATGCAGCCTTTTTGTGTTTATATATCTGAGGCCAACATGTTTTTTTTTTATCTTGTGCAGGAAATATCGAGTACAGCTGTCCAGCTACCAACGAATGTGAGATCACCAAAAGGAGACGCAAGTCATGTCAAGCGTGCCGCTTCATGAAATGTCTCAAAGTTGGCATGTTAAAAGAAGGTGAGTTGATCTTCTTTGTCTCATTTACTGTTTCAACTTAGTTTCAAGTAACATTATGGAGAGATGCCTTCCACCTCTATATTAAAGTCCCCTGCTTAATCCATTGTCCTGTCCTCTCAAATCAAAGGCATAACACCCAGAAAATAGAACTAGAGAATATGCTCTGCAATTGTTTTAACAGCAACTTCAATCAAACATTTACCAAAATATGGCAAAATAAAAAATAAAAAAAACACAGATCCCCTTACAGTTTTTGAAAATTAACGTTGTTGCTGTATGCTGTTTGTCAATATGTCATTCCCAAACACACATATTGAAGTGAATTGGCAACAGTTTCCAAGACGACTATAAGTCAACTTTTGAAATATTTTTGACACTTTGCACATGAGTAAGGATCTGAACATTGTGTAAGTAAAATGTCAACTGACCAGAGCTTATTTACAATCAATACGATAATGATAAAATCATTTATTTGATCATTTGAAATTAAAAATGGCAATAAAACAAAGCTATTGCTGTGAGATAAAAATAAATGTTAGTAAATTTTCAGGTTTTGAGTTATAATTCATAATCATAAAGATAAGAAAAAATAAGCAGTTATAGCAAATTTAGTTTAGCATGGTCAATAATTTCACTGAGCATTAATTCGTTCAACATTTAAAGTTATAAATAGATTTTAAAACTCAAGCTTCAACAGTTGACTGTAGGAGTTTAATACTGTTAAAGACTTACAGGACCTACAGTCCAGAAGAACTGGATCAGTGATCAGTTATAAAACCCAGCTGTGGCCTTTGGGAGATGCTGTTTACATCACCCACCAGTAGTGCTAACCTTCCCTCACACCGCCAAGCCTCTCACCACGTGGAAAAAGCTGCTGAATTGTATGTTCCTACTGAGACTGACTGAGAAGTGTAACAGTACTCCTGGAAAGCACAGGCTGTTCCCCTGAGACCTCCATCTCTCCGGGGCTCTGGGTGCCTCTCTTTCTCTCTCTCTCTTTCACTCTCCCTCTGTTTCTCTATCTCCTCTCTTTGTCTGTGTGCCTTCCTCTGTCTTTCTCTCCATATTGATCCACTAAATGCTTTCCGAACATCCCACCTCACTTCCTGCCTGTGTTGTTTCTCCTCTGCTGAGATTCCTCTGGGAGCACAGAGGGAAAATCTAACCCGTGCTTTTTTCTCTTTCTTTTTTTAAAGGGATGTTGTTTTGTTTTGTTTTGTTTTGTTTGTTTGTTTTTTTGCACCTGTGTTTACCTTAAAGAATATTTCCACGTTACTGCAAACAGTCAAGCATAGAGTTTTTCCTTAAGTGAGACCTTAAATACCTTTTGCTTATCTTATACATTTTTAAAGACCTTTTAGGGTGTTTCTGTCTTTGACCCCTGACACATTTAATACATTATGAAAGTGATGATGGTTTTTAGTTACCCAGCTTATTATTTATTTACCCAAGTAGGATGTTGATAGAAATGTGGGGTGTGTTAAAACATACTTAAAACCATTAGTTCTTGCAAAATACTTAACATTAATCAAAGATGGTTGGTACATTCACACAGTAAGTGTGTCCACATTTACTCAGGTGGTTGCACTGTGCGATCGACACTGCAACATGAATTTTTGAATTTTAAACTCTTATTTAATGCCCCGAAAGCAGTTTGTTTAAATAAATGTATTATTGTGGCACAGTAATTAAGCAGTAAAGAGCAATACCATTATGTTTTTGTTTTAGTTTTACTTGGATTGGGTGGGAGGTGCAAAGGGAGATTTATAAAGCAAAGTTACTGCATGATGCATGATGTAAACTTACAATGCTAAAACCCTGTGTCTTACTCACTTGTATCATTTAAAAGATAATTAATTTTGAGAGACAAATAGTTTCTTTTACAAGATTTAGAAAGAGATGTTAAATATGTCTTAAGTTATCAGACTTAATTTTTTTTTTTAAGTGGCATATTTATATATTCAGTAATGAAGACTGTAAACGGCAGACTTTTCAAGAACTCATCCCATACACTGATGCTGACTGAGGTGGAGGGGGTCGCAACAATCCTTGCTGAAACAGCTAACAGATCAAGCAGAGAGGAAAAAAGGGTCTAAAGTTTGGCAGCATGGAAGGAGATGATTGGTGGATATGGATGAGGCATAATCTGATTGAAGTAAAACTTAAGTGAGTAAATGCCCATGTCAGGTCATCCGAGGAGCAGGAGAAGACAAAAAAGAAGAGATATACAGAGTGATTTTGGTAAATGATAATTAAACTACTTGATATATGATTGAGCTAACTTTGCCTCATTTAATGAGATGCCCATCTTAAACAAATATTTTTTTAAAAACGTTGAGATATGATGGGATAAGACGGGATAAGATGCTATAACTCCACCTGTACCTCAAGATCTCACTCAACTTTTATCACTTTTAAACTTTTTTTAAACTATGGTGCTAATTTGCCAAATATTGGCTGAAATGGGCTTCATTTGTTGGTCACAAGTAACACACTGATGCCTGACCAGTAATGTGCCTCTACCTTCAAAAGTTTGAAAGAAACTTGTTGACAGATGCATGAAACATGACTTAATGCTGCACAATGAATATTACATTGACTATTACTATAAAATTGACAGTGAAGTTAATATTTAAGACTGTAGCTGTCAGAAATTGGCATGATAAGGTGCCATGTTTTCAAAATGTTTTTAAATGGCATTTGCTGGCTTCAACATCTCTCTACCAGTATTGAAGCAGCTTAGAAAATGAGACTCCAGTTAGTAAAGGCTGTGAGCCGGCAGGTTAATTTCTGGAGTTCAGCCTACATACAACTATGACATTGCACTTATTACATAATCAATAGCTCTAATATAAAGAAGAGTACTGAAAGATTTCTGTTTATAGGCTCCACTTAGAGACACATCAGCCATAAATAAATTTCCATAAATAAAACTCTGGTCATACAGTTTTGTTGTGATCCATGAGCATCAAACACATCTCATAATAGAAAGCAACAGCAGTAAACAGCAATCTGCGCCGCTAACACCAGATTGTATGTCAGGCTCCTGGTTCACTTCCACTAATACAGCCTCTTCATACACTGGCATCGCTCTGTTTGCTCATCTCAGAAGGAAGGGTCATACATTGTATTGCGATTACAGCACTATTTATACACGCAGTTACTCTTGATGTCTTCATCCTGGCACAAACATCTAACACAGAGCCTTTGAATCTCAGCCAGCGAAAACTACAAGCCTCAGAAATAAAGCTGAAACTATTATCGCATGCTTAAAAGAAAAACAGCGGGGTATTGTCTGCGAGGGTTTGAGTTAAGCTGTACATGTGGACAGTCATGTGTGTGTGTGTGTGTGTGTGTGTGTGTGTGTGTGTGTGTGTGTGTGTGTGTGTGTGTTGTGTTAGGGGGAATTTGACTGTAAACTCTACCGCCTGCCGTTCCTGAGATGCGGCATCACAGCCGCCAGGATACGTGGCACAGTGGGGGATTCTCTGAAAGTAATGGCATTCATTTAAAGGGGAAAAGGACATTCAGTCGTGGCACAGAGCCCATGTGATCTTGGAATCAGTGGGGGACAGTGACTAACCTACTTCATGTAATGAGATCAGCGTATAACAAGTGGCCAAGGGCTGGCCATGGAAAAGGAATAATCAGTGAGGGTAATATTTAAGCAGGTGTCACGTTTGGAGCAATTTTATCAAGAGATCAGCATTACACTGCATTTTTGTGCACACTTGATGCCCTCTTTGATTGTTTAAAACCTTGTGTTGTACATCTGTTATGTCAAAGTTTCCATACTATAGTTAGGTCCACATTTTTTATTCCACTATTCTTTCTTTCTTTTCTTTTTTTTTGGAATGGGGATCTGGATCATTGCCAAAAATGTTTACACATACAAGGGCATATGTCTTAGTGTTTTTAGTTGTCATTTTTATTATATAAATAAAATTAATAAATTTAACCAACACAAACTGTGTTCATCTACCGTCAGATTTCTGACTTGTTGCAGTACAGCAGAATCATAAGATCCTGAGAGGTCACATGTGGTCATTCTAAAAGTGTTTAATATTTCCACCAGGACCCTCTAAGCTCTGCTCTAAGCATGCCGCCCTGAATTATAAAATGCCAGCTGTCACAGTTATAGAGCAGCTCCACTGGTGGGCAGAGAAACCCCTCCTCCCTGAAACACCTGCCGTTAATCAGCTGACTCCAGCTCTCAGGGCTGGTATGTTTGGTCCAGGTGTGTTAGGAATCCTGTAGGTCCAAATAACACAACTTTATTTTCTCAGTACACTCAATCAAAAAGGAAGCAAATGTTTCATTAATTTCACAAAAAAAATTCAGCTATATGTGAATAATGTAAAGGTTTAATAGTTTCAGGCCTATTTTGTGGTTAGTTTTCATCACGTAAGTTTGGATCTGAGTGGCCATATTTTAAAGGGATAATCCGGCGTAAATTTAAGTTATGGTCCAACACACCATAACAAAGAGTTAGACACCCCCTCGAGAGATGGATGTTGCCAACTGCTTGCTTCTCTAGTTATACCAACTTAGGTAACGACCACAGGATAGCAATACACAGCGGTCTACGTCTCCATGTACAAACCTCAACCAAAAAGTCACGCTATAGCCACAAATAATGCTCAGAACAGCACCTAACTTCATCAACAGTACATACAGGGTCTCAGCCATAGCACTAGCCATCAAAGATCTTTTTAGCTTTGCCTGATTTCTTTAGCAAAGAGACTAAACTCAACTCACCCACTGTCCTCCAACAGCCACTTGTTTGTGGGGGCCCTTGACGAGTCAATCACCGAGTGCTTTAAAAGGACAGTATAAGACCATCATGGACTTTTCTGTCTGAAGCAAAAGGCATCTGTTGTGTTTTATTTCAGTCAAAAACAGCTTACATGGGGTACGCTAGCTTGCAAGGAAAATTGATTTGAAACAGATTTTACAGCTGTACAGCCAATAACCTTGCTTACCTTAATGGGTTATTTATCCACTGTAAATTTCTTTGCTTTCTTTAAAGTTAGTTTTTCTAATACTTTGTTAGCAAGTAGCTATTGTGTTGACTATGCATTAGCTAGTGAAGTAATAACTTCAGTGGTTAACAGTGTGTGTAACATGAAGATTGCGCACAAGCTACCTTTTAAAAAGTAATTTTCAAACATATTTTTTCAGAAGATATAGCTGTTATTCACCATTCAGTTTCAAATAAACTGACTTTATGCAAAGCTAGGAAGCAAAAAGAGGTCTTTAAACAAGCTCAGGAAACAAGCTAGAGATAGACACAACTTCCAGTGTATTTGTATTAGACCAAAGTCCAAAGGCATGGAAATAAGTGAAAACTTATTATTAGTCAAGTATTTCTAAATCTTGTTGGTGGTCAGTTTGTGCTATCTTGAGTGAATTGTTGTTTTAATCAGTTTTATGTCCCATTGTATAGCCTCTGAAATTCTCTTTTCTTTATGTTGAGACAAAGACAGGTTTAAGAGCAAAACTCACAGTTGTTCTTGCATGAGTCCTCGTATTTCTTTTTTCTACACTTGAAAGAAAATCTAACTTGATCTTCTCAACTGGACTCCAGTTCTGAAACATCAACAACCATGCAGTCAAAACTGCAACCAAAGCTAAAACTGAAACGACCCCCATGCTAAAGGTATATTAACCTTAAAGGAAATGTGGCACAGATGACAGGCTTCTTACCAGATCTTTAAAGCTGTGCCTCAGGGCCCTTAGATGAGTCAGGTGGAGTGTAGCAGCCGAAGATAGCAGCCATCACTCAGTGACCCCTTCAGTGGTGGATGTAGGCTGATAAAAGGTCACAGGTCTAGTGGAAAAACTCTCCTAATTACAATCCATGGAAGGTATGGTGTCAGCCACTCCTGCCAGGATTCAGTGCCCACATCTAACAGCAGCACTAATAACCACATATTATTACTGCACAATATTGAACTATTTTCTGAAGGGCATTAGCATTTTTTGACTTTGTGGTTTCAGATGCTATTTTGGTTTGTTTGTTTGTGTGTTTTTTTATGAAAATGGAGGACCAGCTAAAAAGTTTGTAGTTTTTTTGGGTGCTGAAATAAAATTTTGGGGCTTAGATTAGATAATAAAGTCACCATGATAGCATATTAGCATGTTTGAAGCTATTCTTTTTAAACAGACATACACCTCCCTCAGGCAGATTCAATTTCTGTCAAATCTAAACTTTTAAACTGTTTTAGTTATTTTCTTCATTCTTCTCTCCTGGCCGGTTTCAGTGTTTGCTCATCTTTTGGCTGTTTTATTTCACAGTTATGGGGATTTTTTGACGATGACACTGTCATGTGGTGGATGAATACAAGCTGCCAGACTATTTTGGCAATCTACACCGCTGTCTCGCCCTCACCAGACCACAGATAGGGATCAGCAGTCTTTCCTGAGCAAATGTGGCTACTGGTGTAGCCTTACAGCCTTATTTTCCTCCAGTCACATACACAAAAGATTAGTAAAGCCATGTCCAATATCACAGCCTGTCAGGTCTCTTTCCAATCAATAGGCTCGGATCAGAAACCAATCTAAACACCGAGATTACATCATTTTAATAGAGATTAAAGAAAACAAGTCTGTCTTTAAAATTCTTATATGTACAAAATCATTTTAACAGTTATGTTTTTTTTTTAATTATCTGTGTTTTCAAGAAGTTAAACTGATAAACAAAACGCCTGCAAACCCGAACCATTTGATTTATACTTGTAGCACAAACATTTCCATCTGACAGCACATGTACAGAGTCTTGATTACTTTTTAAGGGTGTCATAGCAGCAGGCAGACTACATCTGAGAGCCAGTGCCCACCCAGCGGCTCTGCAACCGCCTGTCCTCACTGTCTGGCAGGTGATAGATCAGACGCGGAGGCTAACACGTGTTCCTCTGAAGATGGGGATTTAGCCAAGCACTGGCCTCTTCACGGCCCTCTGATACACACAGTGGACTCAAGAAACACATTCATGTTCATGCCAAATGTATATATCTTGTCAAGTGACATGGAGTCGGACCTTGAGGTGCTGTCACCCTTCACCTTTTTCCCACATTTGTAAAAACGACATAAACAAATCATATGCTGCTTTGACACAAAGGGTATCCTGAATCGACCCGGCCGTCTCCAGCTGCGCAGATGTTTTTCGATTACAACGCATTTGTGGTCAGCGTGGCTTTCTAATACACAGTAATACCCCTTGTGGACACGCCGACTCAGATTTATGAAAAGTGTAGCAGGTGGGACGCCATCCTCATACACCCCTTCTTCTCCTCCTGCTCCTTAGCCCATTTTCTTAAGCAACTCCCCCTTCTCTGCAGCCCACCCAGAATCTGCTCAATCTAACAAAAGCTGTCCGATGCCTTTAGCTCTTTGCACACTTGCAGACTTGACCCTTGGAAGTAACACTGAAAACTCTGCTCTTTGTAAAGAGCGGAACATCGTGTGTGTGTGTGTGTATAAGGGGGAGATCTGCATCTCTCTGATTTTTCCCAGCTAAAATAGGGATTCTTAATCTTCTAATCTCCCTTTGGCAGCATTTGCCAGCCAGCCAAACCTGACACATTCTCCCAAAAGAGGCGCCTCTGACAGGTGAGGGGCTCAAAATAGTTATGGAGATACAAACACACATCTATAGTAACACTTGTTGCACTCTGTGTAACACATACAGATAAAATATGCATAGATTTGTGTAACAGGATAGTGAATCAACGTCCATCTACACTAAAAAGGTATATTATGCTTTTTATTTGACAATTTGCGGCTTGGCTCTTTTTGTAATTCATTTGTGTTTTTTGATTTGTTTTCTCTGCCTATTATTCCTCTACGAATGTCATATAATTGACAATTTTTCTTCAATTTTGTGTTTCATTTTCCAGTGTGCAGGCTATAGTAAATAGTAGCTATAGTAGACATTACTTTTCAGTTATCTCATCAGAACCATGCCCTGAAATTTAAGGGGTTTCAGAAAAGAAGATTTCATTCTTAATCTTTACAAAAAAGCAGCACATGGTGTACACTCTATAAAAATGATTAAAGAATTTTTAGACTCAGTTAGCCACAAAAAAGCCATATTAATATACAGTTGATCAGTTTCTAGAACTCTTTGATATTGGCACTGTCTAAAATACTTGTTTAGGCCATGTTAAGAGTTTTTTTTTTTTTTTGGTAACACTTCATTTGACGAAATTCTCTGTAACGCATTTTAAATACATGTATAATGAGTCAAAATCATGTTATAGCACTAACACAACAGTTATAACACATTATAATACCTGACCTTGCAAGTCATGATAAAATGCTCAATAATGTGTTATGATTATTGATTATCATTTATGAGTGTTTATATCTATAGTTATGCAGTGCGATAACGTGATTCTAACACATTATTCAAAGATTTTTAATGTGTGATTAATGTGTGATAGAGATAGGTTTCAAATAAAGTGTTCCCTTTTTTTGTGAATCTACTACAAAATACAACAGAATGTATAAAATACAGCAAATCCATGTGCAGTTTGTTTTAGACCTCTGTTTTCATGGAGTGTTAATGTTATTTAAATACCATTTTTAAAAGAGACAGGAAAAACAGTATGACACCTATTTTTTAAAACGAAAAGGGGTCGAAATAATAAAAAAAAAAAAGACACCTAAAAAAATAAATCAAATGTCTGACATACAGTCACCTCCACACAAATGCAAACAGCCACTTCCATCAGGAATGCGCTTAAAGCTGCATGAGTCAATAAAGATATTGAATGTGAAAGGGATGCTGGGGTCAGGTGGCCAGAAAGATTGCTCCTATGCAAACATGCCTCATCATCTTCCCACACATATGTGAACACACACACACACACACACAAGCACACACACACTAGAGTAAAAAACTGTCAGCTATACGTCTGCGTCTTAAGTCATCTCGCCCACGGTCAACATTAGGTTTTGTGTATACTTTATTCTATAATCACACTGAGCTCAGAGCATTTATCAAACTCTTATACCAGCTGATACATCCACATTTTGGCTGCCACACTTTATGAAAGGCAGACAGCCATAAAAACGTATTAGGACACTTTAAAGATGATCTGTGCACCCGATTGGCTCTCCCCCTACAGAGTCACAAGCTTTCCTCTGGACCTGATTGTCCAGCAGCGTGGTGTCCGTTATGGTTTTGGGTCGGAGGTGTGGAATGTGCTGCTGATGATGACACAAACCCCCCTCCTCTTTCTCCCCCTCGTCTTCCCCGTCCCTCTTTCCCTCCACAGCGCTCCACAAGGGGCCTCGTCCAGCTGTCTTGTTGTGGTCAGATTCTCAGTACTGTGCTGAATCACATGGGGAGGAGATAATCCTGTGCTGGCTGGGACCGGCAGGGTTGTCAGGGAGGAGACGAACACCCAATGCTGAAAGGGAGGGAAAAAGAGACAGAGGGAAAGTGGGGGAAAAAGATACAGTCAGCCAACAAACAGAAGCCTTTTCTGTCATATTCCCTGACTCTCATATTCTCAAAGATCTTCTCACCCCCCTCTCTCTGTCTTGGTGACTTTTCTCTGCTCTGGGTCTCTGCTGTTCGCCGCGCTGTTAAGCTCTAAACTGAAACTGGTTAGCGCTGAGCTCTTAATTCTTGTCAGCGTCTATTAATTATGGGCCAGTTGGATGTTCCAGTTCAAACAGCCCCCGCAGACCTTGGAATTCAAACTCCGGCTGTTTGGTCACTTGTCACTCTTTGCAACCACATGACCCTGCAGCCCACAGTGAGAGCGCAGTGTCTGTAATTTTGTGTGTTTCTGAATGTGTGTGTGTGTGTGTCTATGGCAGTAGATGTAGGGACAAAATATGCAGCAGTTGTCTTTCACTTAGGCAGACAAACCTGTTGTATATGCATTTAGGATATCCACCTGTTTAATATGGTTTCCATTGTTGCAAAGGCCCTCTTTTAATACATGTATCTGTGTTAGGCCTGTATGCTTCATTAAGTGTAGAGGAGCGATTGAATTGCTTTAATATCCAGAGTACACATCGCCCACAGTTTCCCGCTTCACAATTTATAATTCTGAATTTACCTTGAACAAGAATAATGGTAGGAATAAGAAGTGATGCTCCATCTATCCCAAACCCAGCTCCTAGCTGCCTAACTGACTAATTAAGACTGCATCCACATGTGTTCAAAGAACAAGAAGTCTATTTGTGAGCCTTATTGATTACTTAAAGGCGTACAAATGGAAAGCTGTGCTAGTAGAGGGGCTCTCGATTTAGCTTCAATCTGCCAGGCATAAAATGATCTCACTGTGTTTGCTGGGAAGAATGAGCTCCCTCTGGGCACGCTGGGTAATTAGGTTAGTGGATAGTCGGTGTCAGGAAATTGAAAGACCATCCTAATCGGATTCTTTTGTTTCCAGGGGAATCAAAGGAATTCATACGAGTCACAGGGAAATCTCACACGACTCAATTCCACTTGACCATGTAAAATCTGTTTGCTCTCCCTCGATGCTCAAACAACTTTTAATACAAGAGTTTAAATCCAGCACACAAGGTGCATTTAATGGGGCCCTTTCCCGCCCAGATGGCTTTTAAGATTATCCCAGATATGTCCGTATGTATACTAACAAGATACTTAGTCGCCTCTATCTCTAACAGGGACATATTGAAAAGTCCTTTCTCCAGTTAAAAGGTCAAAAAAGAATTAAAAAGGAATAAATAAAAGGAACCCAAACATTATGTTCTATGCATTAAAGGCGACCAACACAGGCATAAATGACACATACATTATAACCTCCTGATTTATGTCCAAATCTTTATAAAACTGAAAAAACAATATAGATTTTTGTAATTCTATCGATAATATGATGGGCCTGTCTTGTATTCTTAGAGATACATAATGATCACTTTAAAAATCATACGTCATAGAAATGATTGTTTTGTTGGTTAGTGTCTCGTTTTGAGTGTACTTTTAAAGGTGACAATTGTTTTTTTTTCTTCTGCAAATCAAACAAAGAATGCTGTGAAGTCTCCCAAATGTGTTTGGTTTACTAGACATCTATACATGTGCATTCTGTTTTCCAGGTGTTCGCTTGGACCGGGTTAGAGGGGGGAGACAGAAATACAAACGGAGGTTGGACGCGGAGAATGGCGCCTACCTTGGCCTCTCCATCCCCCCTCCTGCCAAGAAGCCTTGTGAGTCACAAGATTTTTTTGAATTGTTTTTTACGCTTAACCTTACTTGATTCTAAATAGTTGGTATTTACTTCACAAAATAAATCAGTGGAAACTTGTGTCATTAGTCAACCTGCATTTAGTGAAAAACAGCTTACGTCTTCATACATCTCTTGCATTTTTGTTTGCTAGCATGAGTCAGCATGCATTTTTGTCATGGTGTCATGTTGGAATAACAACCCCCTCTCTCTTATTTTTCTTTGCGTCTTTTTCTTTATCCTTTTAGTGACAAAGATCGTCTCCCATCTATTGGTGGTGGAGCCAGAGAAGATCTATGCGATGCCTGACCCCAGCATGCCTGACGGAGACATCAAGGCCCTGACCACACTGTGTGACCTGGCTGACCGTGAGCTGGTGGTCATCATCGGCTGGGCAAAACATATCCCAGGTACAGAGCTAGGACTGCTGAGGAATGACTGAATGTTATTTGAAAACCTTTAGTTTATTTTTGACATTGCAATCATGTAAAAATTTATTATTACAATTTATTATTCAACGATAAATTACTGATGACATAAGGAAGAAAAGTGGAGTTATCTGACCTTTAACACTTTAAATCTCCTCCTCATTAATGATTTAAATATCATTCATAAAAGGCAAATTTGCAGGGGCAATAAGTAACCCCTGGTTTGTGCTTCACTTTGCTGAAACAGTCACAGTATGAGAAGTACATCAGTGACTATTGCTCAAAAATACAGACACCCCTCCCACACACACACACACACACACACACACACACACACACACACACACACACAAGATAATTAACATCTGCTACTCATCTGCTACTCATCTACACCTAAGGGAGAAGCTAGTTCCATATTCTAAAATCTAATCAATAAAGAGCAGCTGAAACCTTTGATTTGAGGGGGTGGAGTGGGGGAGTCTTGGGTGCAGGGGAGGGGATCCGCCCCTGTGTCAATGTATTCCATTTCAATCCCAGACTTAAAGAAACCAATCCTCTTACTTACTTAAGGAGACTTCACAGCACCCATTGTAAAATTGATTTATTTTGGGAATTACTGATGGATTTCCTCATTCCTAGTTGAAAAATTCTTAATCAAGACTGATGTAAAATTCCCCAGGCCTTCTTCTCTATACACCTGTTTCAGCTAAAACAGGCATTGTTTGTTTAGAGAAAGGACAGGCTGGACTCTCAACGCAAATGAGTCATTGATACAGTCTCAAAATATGCACCCATAACAAATTTGGCATATTTAACTCAATTCAGAACTTCTTACTGCTATGTAATACCGTGGGAATGAAATACTTGCAGATAGTTGTATGAATTTATCCCAAAAAAAAAAAAGAAGCAGTCCATCGCCGTCATGTAACTAGTTCGCAAGCCTTGTGTTTTGGCATAGTATCCACACATAATACAGTGGTATAAGTGTGCAGATAATACAGTACAGTGCAACGCCATACAACACAATACAATGTGATATAATGCAGTAAAGTATGATACAATACATTGAGATTTAAGGGGACATGATATAAAATGATATGATACACTGTGGCATAATGAAATATGACACACTTTAACAAAACACAGTACTATTCAATATGACACAATCTGATACTAGCATACAACACGAAGCAAAGCGACATGAAATTTTAACATACATCAGGCTCACATGCTCCACACATGAAGCTGCCTCCAGGCTGATGTTTTGCAATGCAACTGTGCTGGATTTTGTCAATTAAAAAACATTTTAAAAAATCAATAATATTGCTTTATAACCATAGACTGAATATATTACAGACAACTTGGCTCCGCCTTCAGTCATTATATGAATTTAAAACAGAATTGCGCTCAGTATTTCCAGAATATTCTCCACTTCCTAGAACCAACTCTTGTGCAGTAGCATTGTGTGCATTCGGTGGGACAGCCCTGTGATGACGCTCGGCTCAAACAGCGTTTGAGCTGCGCAATCTTCATACGCCCATAGGCTGTATCAAGTGTCAATCATCGGAAACATGAACCCCCTAATAATTTTTAGAAAATAGAGCTGTACAGAAAAAAGAGGACTTGAGCTCAAACCAGTCTTACTGTAACAACATGTCAACATCACAAGCAGGAGGGAGAAAAATTGACGCTTCATTTTAGCTGCTGTCTCTTTAAGCTCCTCCTTTCTTCTGATTGGTCGGCTCTGCAGAGGCTTTTTGGAGGCCAGCCAAGGGGCAGAGCTTGATGTTATGGGGCTGCCTCCTCTATAGAGGCCATGTTAAGCAATCACGTTGTGCAGCGTTACCCCGTTCCTCTGAGGGTGTCACACCGCTGTGCCGGAAGCACAAATTAACCAGTTAGAAGATCTTTATGTGATGACCTCATTAATTCAACAATTCCTGTGATGTTGTGTGACTTTCCAACAAATCATTTTGATTAGTTTACACCACTTTTTTAGGATTATTACAAAATACAATAACCCAGCTGTTAAAAATTTGCATATTTTTAATATGGACACCCAACATGGCAACTTTACAACTATGTTTAGGATAAGGTAAGATAAGAACTCTATCGCTGAGGGGAAATTCAATAAGGTTTAATAAAAAGGGTATAAATTAAATTAAATTAAATATAAAAGGTGCACCATTGACCCAATATTTCCCAGGTCATAAAGAGGCCAAATTGGTTGAGTACAATTAAATCTTCTTTTAATCTAAGTGTAGCTACAGGGCTGCAGAAAATGAATTCAAGAAATTTCCATACAGTCATATTTTTGCATTAACATTTCATATGTATAACTATTGATCTTGAATACTGTGAAGATCTAAATCCACACCTGACAGAGTTATTAAAAGGGCTGAGCAACACTCAGGGGACACTTTACCCCGGGCCACCAGGTCAGAGTGTCACCGAGTAACGATTAAGACAAAAGGGGTCCCTACAGTTTAACAGTCCACTCTCACCATTACACTCATAGCCCAGTGAGTAAATGGTCTTAACGATGAGCTAATAAGAGTCATTTCTGCAGATAGCTCCATTAATGTAAAACTCCTTCAATATCCACATGTGTAGAGCGGGGGGTAAACATGCAGCTTTAGTTGGGTGTTCTGTTACATGTTGACATTTTAAGTGTTTTAATATTTGAGGGGCAACAAAAATTATCATTTTTTATCTGTTGAGGAACAATCACAATAATTACCCCTGATTACCTTATTGGGTAATTACCTAGGGTGCAAAAAATATTAAGAAGCCCCCCCCCCCCCCCCCCCCCCCCACACACACACACACACACACACACACACACACTACCAAAGTGAGTGACAAATCAAGAAGGTTTTTTGCAGATATCTACTCAATAATTTTTATTCCTTTGATTCCATAAGTACTTGGGTATAAGCTAATACACAGTATTTCACTAATACCAGTACATTGTTTTTTCATTGAGTATTGATACACCATTTGCTTACATCACAGGATTGGTTTTTGTAGTCATCACCAAATATTTTGCCAAATATATATATATATATAATTTTTTTTTTTTTTTTCGGGGTGTGTGTGTGTGTGGGGGGGGGGGGGGGATTTTTGGGGGGGATTTTGATAAAAGAACAGCTCAGTTGTCAGTCATCAGGAGTCAACTGGTGCAGACACACACACTCACACATCCCACAACATGTAGATATATAGTTTATTTTAGGAAAAGATATCTATTATCCCCAGGTTTATAATACTCACTTATTTCAGCACTTTGTTTTCTCCCTCTTTCCTCTCTTTTTCTCTGCCACACACTCTAACACACACCCATATTGTCTGTCTCCCTCTCAACCAGCATATCTTTCACACACTCTCTCACTTCCTTGTCCTCTAGCTCCCCAGGCTCTCCTCCCCCTCCTACTCCTGCAGCTCATATAGGGCCCTCTAGTCTCATTATTACCTCTGTCTTTTTATTAGGCCCATTAGGGCTCTTAGGGGGCCTGTAATGATACTAAATGAATAGAGAGTGAACTGCTGTCTGTTTTAGACCCAGTTCTCAATGGCAGCTTCAAGCCTCACTGCAAACCGCTCACTCTCTTCATTGTGCTGAAGAGGGATTCCATTACTGATCTGATCTGTACCTGGACTGGACTGTAGCATTACGAGAGTGCTGATGTTCCTCAACTAATATCTATCATCCCATTATAAATAGAAGATCCTACACATTAAGATAAATGATGTTATGGTGAATCATATGGTACAACAGTTGTCTCAAATGAGTCCCAGAATGTCCAAAATTAAATACATGTGCAACTAAAACTTCAAATATATACATCTATATAACTATATATCTTTTTACATTACCAAGATGGCACCACAACACAGACACAGACACGACACGGTATTTGCATACTCTTATAAGCTCTAGCATATTTGTCGTACTTTTGTGTTTTTGTTTGGGTTTCTGCTCTCCTTCCTCGGTAACCTTCACCAGAGAGGAACTCTTAAACATTGTAAACCTTCTGCTGGACTTTTTTCTGCAGTTTTCATAGGACACAGAATGTTTTTCTGAGATTTTTGTCAGTGGAGCACCTGCGTTCTCTGGAATTTGCAGAAGATGATGTGAGAAGTGAGCCAAAGTGCTCATGAAGCTGAGGCAGAGGGGTTTCCTCACAGTCTCCTAACCTGGCGAAATGTCAACTTCCTAGCAAATAAGATGGGGGAGCTGCTGCTCAGATAAATAAGGACTTTGGCCGTGCAGCCACCCTATATTTTCCTAAAACCTGGCTCAATGAACACATCCCAGACAGAGCACTACAGCTCTGTCCAGTATGAACCTGTTGGGAAAGAAGAGGGGAGGCAGAATCTGCTTCTACCTGAATAAAGGTTGGTGTACAGATGTCACAATGTTGAAGAAATCATGCAACCCTCATTGAGAGGTCGCTTTCCTGAACTGTAAACCATTTAATTCACTGTTGGAGTTCTCCCCGTTTTGTTCTGGTTGGTGTTTACATCCCCCCTCAGGCCTGTGTAACAGAGGAGTGACAGCACCTGCTGACCCCTGATCATCATTCTTGGGGATTTTAACAGAGCCAACCTCTGCACATCCATCACTGTTTGGTTTGGGTCCACCACCAGGCAGGACAAGAACAGACTGCAACAGCCGGGTGACCAGACTTCAATTTCTGGGGACAGTCCTCATTTAGGATGACCTAAACACTCCCCCAACTTCTCTGTTTTACAATCCCCTCTGGTTATCTCTGTTGCTTATTCACATTTTTCGACCACATGTTTCCCTTCCATTCAACTTTCCATACATGTGCTTGGGTAAGTATATTGTAAGTATAATGTTCACGTATATTGTCTGCTCTTCTCGGTGGTCACTTGCTGAGCGGCGACGTCTAGTCGATCCGGACCGAGCACTTCCAGCTTTAGTTAGTCCTGCAGAGTTCTCCTCTCAAACGGGACCTACTTGATGGACAGCGCAGCGTTCTCCGGTAAATCACTCAGTAGGGGGTTTGCGGTAGTCATTCCCACGTACTCTATCATTAGCAGCCAAGTGCAGAGTGAGGGGCGGAACGGCTCCGAGTAGAGCACACATTGTAACTATGCGTCCATTTGTGGCCAATCTGGATATGAATGTGCTTACGTCATTCAAATTAGGGATGCTGGGGTGCCCGTCCCTGGCGCCCCATAAAGTTTTTTTTATGTGGCTAGGATAAGCTAGCTTTTTAATGCAGAACTGTGATCTGAGCATGCGTGAGGGAGCAGAAACCTTGGGCGCTGGCCCGTAGCGCCCCTAACGCTAATGCACAACTGTGATCTGAGCATGCGTGAGACAACAGACGTTCGGAGTCCGCCCCGGCGCTGGGCGGAGAGATGGCTAACGGACAGAAATACACATTTAATGGAATGATTAATATAATAGCGCCATTTCTTTACTTTGATAATAATTTTCAGGGAGACAGCAGAAATCTCTTTTGCTCACGCAGCTCAGGCGGGGCTCCGCCTGGAGCGCCCTTATATACTGGCCGCCACTGGTGAACAGCCAGCTTCTTTAGCAATGACCTTCTGGGTCTTACCCTCCTTTGGGACAACTTTTAAGTCCATAGTCCTTCCCATGATTGTGTGACCTACTGATCCAGACTGACAGACCATTTAAAGACCCAAGACATCCTTGCAGGTGTTTTGAACTAACTATCTACCATGAGTCTCCAATATTAAACTTCTTAACGATATTCTAATTTCTGAGATACTGAATTTTGGGTTTTCATTAGCTGTAAGTTACAATCATCAAAATGAAAAAAAAACCTGATATACTTGAAATGTATCAGTCTGTGTGTAATGAATCTACACTATATCATATATGAGTTTCACCTTTTGACCTGAATTACTGAAATAAACCAAGTTTTTGATGTTTATCTAATATATTGAGATGCACCTGTGGTAAGTTCACTGTGGGAGCTTAAAATGTCCCAGAGTCACACTTTAAATGGATATGATGATGGGCCAATTTTTTTTTATTTTGATTTTCTTATGGATGGCAATAAGCTGTATGTAATATAGTCTGTCAATGCTTGTTTCTGTCCACAAAAATGATTAGAATTGAAAGAAAAGCTGTAAGCACAGATAGTTCTGTGTCTTCAATTGTCTATTTTTATAGCTTATTAAAGTAATTTCTTTGGCCCATAATCAGATTTTAGCAGGTATTAAACGGAAGCATTTACAACCTCTCTATCAGCTATGCAGTTTGCCTCCCAGCCAATAAACTTTTTACTCTTTTCTCTAAATCTCCACTTTACTGCTTTTTGCCTTTATATGACAATAGAAGATAACGGTTCATTTTATTCCAGCACAGTGGAAACTTGTAGAGTCTCTTTATATTCTCTCTGATATCACAGAGAAAGAAAACTGCACCGACAGAGACTTAGACGTTCCCCACTTTGCTCAATATTGTGTCATGTTTGGTCAAACGGCAGTAAATCAGAAGGTGAAGTATTGATATTTCGTCGGGGGGAATCACCATCTGCAGCGACACTTAACTCAGTCACCTCCGGGCAACACACCTGAAGCTCCAAGGTAACCTCCAGGGAGACAGGAAGTCACTCCATCGCTGCGTAAATTGAGTGGAAAAAAAGAAACATGTTGCAGAGAGAAGGGGGAAAGACTGATGAAGAAAAGGATGAGACCGCCAGGGAGGGTGACAGATCTTTCAGGAAATGTGAGGAAACAGCAGAGACAATAGCAGAAGAAATGGAGCTCCAAGTCAATACATTTAAACTATTTTAATATTTTCTACTGAACCACTGTGTGGTTGAGTTTCATAGAAGCCTGAAATAAGTATGGTTAAATGTCAGAGCTTTCTCATTGACCGTACTTTTGCTTGATACAAGTTTAGTTTTTCCCAGATATTTTTGATGACACCACTACAGTTTGAGTTACTCAAACCTCCACACTTTTTTTATGAGAAAAAACAGTAAATTTATCAATACCTGATGCAGCCCACTGTTTCAACAACCAGTGAACCTGTAGTTACTTCAATCTCCCTGTTTAACGTGTACCGATGTCCTCCATCAGCTGTCTGTTTGTCAGATCTGAGGCTTGGATCGATCCCCCTTTCGCATTTGGTGGACTGATTACAATCTACTAATCAATGACACCCCCAGCACTCTTTTCTCTCTCCCTCATTCTCTCTCTCTTTCTTTCTTTCTCTCTTCCTGAGTCGTTTCTCTATTTGCTTGATAAGAAACATTAGGAGGACCTCTTTTAAGTCATCCTGCCCAGTTCCCATCTGTGTAGCCTCAGATTTAAGTAAGCTGAGTACGGGGTTCACTGCCCTGGTCAATATCCCCAATCACCATCCCATTCAGTATAGAGCACTGAAAGGTATTGTGGGACTTGAGGTTCTTTCAGATGTCTGTCTGTTTGATGTGGTGTGTGTGTGTGTGTGTGTGTGTGTGTGTGTGTGTGTGTGTGTGTGTGTGTGTGTGTGTGTGTGTGTGTGTGTGTGTGTGTGTGTGTGTGTGTGTGTGTGTGTGTTAAAACATGAAGAACAGAGGTTATGGGTTGACCTCAAGATCTTGGATGAAATGTTGTTAGCTTGATTTTAAAGTGGAAACACAAAAACTCAAGACGGTGTTAAGCATATCGATGAATATAATTTGCCTTTTTTTGTTTCTGCTTACTTTTTCTATAAAATTCCCACATAAATTTATGGTAAGCCAATGTGGAAATGCAGGAATTAAAAGTTAGGAAAAGTCACAACCAAGTCGCTGATTCCTTTTCCCAGACCAAAGTGTGATTGGAGCAATCTTTGAGCACATAATGAAGCTTCTTTATTTTCTGTTACTCTCAGTTACACTGTGAATACATCCATTAATATGACACTGATGAAAGGCAAATATAAGGAATGAACACAGTGCTGGACTCTGCTCCTTGTGTACTTAAGAAATGCTAACTTTTCTGTAGGTAATGGTGGGCAGCGTGCCTCGGTCTACTCACTAACTCTTTCTCATATTTGTACTCTCTGGTGTATTTCACTGGATTGTTAGATAACTAACACTCATTTAGGATATTGGGGAGTCTAAATTAGTTTGCACAAACCTGGTAGAAAGTTGGACTTTATGTTGCCAGTTGAGCGGCCAATCGTGGGTCTGTTTATTTCACAATGATGATGTGCAAATATGTGTGGTGCTCTCCACAAGTGCAGAGAGGGCATTCCTTTCTGCGGCGTAGTGATACTTGCACACGTGCTATCGAATATGCAGAGGGGTGAAGCGATTTTTGTCACGTTGACCAATAGGAGCCGAGTCTCTTTGCCATAGTATCAGAAATACATAAACATCTCGACGAGCAGAAAAGAAAAGGAAAAAAAGAAAACAGCCTTCAAAAGTGCATAAAAAAGGAACTAAACAATGCTATATGCATCTATCATCTGTCCAGAGTGAAGACGTTCACGACTTTACAAGGACACGTTGGGAAACTTACAGAACTTGTATTAGAAAGTGGCCCTCTCTACAGGGTGAGACAAAGGACCTTGCAGAAACTTATAAACATTGCGTTGATATCGACTTTGACAATGTTCCTGATGATGCTGGGTTTCACATGACATGCTACCAGCGATTTATTTGCAAAAGGCGTTTGAGAAACAAGAACGTGATGCAGCCGCGGGTCAGTCAAACCCCTCAGCCAGCATCGCCGATGCATCCACGTCCACGGCATCTCAAACTCTGCATAAGAAACTTCGCTCGAGGTCATAGGCTGTATTTGGACAAAGGAAAAAGTGCCTAGAAAGTGAATTCCGTTCAACTACGCTGGTGCCACTTGTTCAATGCATTTTTGCATAGACAATACCATTCTGGACTTTGGGTTAAAATATCTACTCAGACTATCTGTCAGGCTTTTGTCACCAGCCAGAAATGTACATATATGTGAGTAACCCAAAAAACAATTATATGGTGCTGCTGTTTTTGCTTGTAGAAACTGCTATGTTGATTCTGGCAAGACAAAATCTTGCCACTGAAGAGGAACGAACCAACACGATCTCACTCAGCCAATACAGCCTAATACCTAAAAAGGGGCTTTCAAAAAGCAATAATGTTGGTAATGACCGACAGTCTCCTAACAAAGGAGTGTAAATCTTATCACCAGCTCTAATGTTAAAACTACACTGAGTCCACAAGACAAATACAAAGTTCTTTACTCCTCAACGTTGCCTGCTTTTTGACTTCTTTTCTTCAATCCCACTTCATAACATCTTGATGGACCAAAAAAATGGTGGCTGACAGCTTCTCTCTCTTTGCTGCAGGACAGAGAGATTCGGAAGATCTTACGTACCCACAGCCATCAGACTTCTTAGTTCTTCTATAAATAGAGATCCCTGCAAATTATCATGAATAAATTGTTACCTTTAAAGTAATTAAAATCAAAGTACAGAATAAGCTGATGGCATCTAGTGGGGGGGATCAGTATTTCCTTAACAATTTTATGCATTACAAAATTTCCCTTAAATTTTCTGTTTTTTAAAAATACAAAAATGCAATTTACTCTACAAAATAAACTTAAGTAGTTCTAATTATACAGTCTGTTTTTGTTATGAATGCTCCTCCAAGAGTCATGTCAGTTTTGAGTTTTTAAAAGGAAGTTATCATGGAAACTTGCCAAGTATATGAAAGAAGGGCTCTTTGTTAGTTTGTATATAACTGAAAAAAAACCAACTTCTTTTTATTTTAATTTAGTCTTAAAATAGCCAAGAACATGAGGAGGTTAGGTGTAAGAATTTATCTGCCCTCACCAAGGCCAATAAGTTTATGGACTGGATTGCTTTAGTGGTGACTTACTCTGCTTGTTAAAGCAGTCCTGTCTCATGTTTCAAAGGCTCCACATTTGACTGATTTATATGCTTCTATAAGCTGCCACACAGCCATCGGCCTCTGTTTCATGTTGGACTTCTGTGGGGATTAAACAGCATTGTACAAACAGCCCATAAAATATACAGTGGACTTCAGACAGTCAATTACAGTATAAAAAGGTTCAATCGTATTGCCATGATTTTTTAAGGAGTTATAAAGTTAGATGAAGATGTAAAACGTAGTAAGCAAAAGGCGTGGAGAAGAAATTACGACAAAAAACCTGACAAATGTTCTTTATTATTCTGCAGGCTTTTCCACCCTCTCACTGGCAGACCAGATGAGTCTACTACAGAGTGCCTGGATGGAGATCCTGGTGCTTAGCATCGTATTTCGCTCGCTGCCCTGCGAGGATGAGATCGTGTACGCAGAGGATTACGTGGTGGATGAGGACCAGGCAAGGATATCAGGTCTGTTAGATCTGCATGTGGCCATCCTGCCTCTGGTGAGACGCTACAAGAAGCTGCGCATGGAGAAGGAGGAGTTTGTCACGCTGAAGGCCATCGCCCTCGCCAACTCAGGTACAGATAACCTTTGCATCATCCTGAAGGTTAAGTGTAGATTCATGCTGTGAAGAAAAAAGAATGAATACAGGAATCTTAACTGAAAAGTGTAGCAGAGGGAATAGGAAATCAGCCAAATATTCTTTGAGGACTTTCAAGATATGTTTGGCCCGATATCAGATTTTCAACTGCTATTTTGGACAATATTGATATTATCATAATATTTACAGAAATCGTAGAGAAACAAATCTGTCAAATTAAGTAAATGCACGACAAGAGTGAAGCACGTGTTACTTTGTATAACCTACAAATAAATGCAATCCAAAATCATGTCATGTTCAATGTGATGATGATGATTGTAATTTAAGTTATGATTAAATTCTGTCACCAGCTCCATAACTTTTAATGAAAGGGCGGTATCATCCATTTTTATCACACTCTATATTTCCTTTCTGATACCTCTTTAGTAATTTAACATGATTTTCAATTTAAAAAAGCTCAAATTTATCACAGTGGTGTATTAACAGTATTTACAGTACTGTGGTTGTCACCTCACACATTGTTGGAGGCAGGCCGTTCTGTTTTGCCGGACGCTCAGATGAATCAGTAAGGAATTTCTATATTTCTTATGTCAAAATTTTAGTAAATCTCGCATATAGACTATAATCCCGCATTCGGCTGAGATTTAAGCAGTTTACATCTATTTTTCAGGATTATTAAGACGTTTATGTTTATCCCGTGCTTTTAAACTTCACATACATGGAGAGTTGGTGAGAGCAGAGTGATCGTAGATGAAAAATTAAGTTTTGAAGCCTTAGAGTTGCACCTATCGTTTTGGGGAAGCCAGCAACTGCATAAAAGGCAAGGGAGCTTTATTTTATGTTTTAAGTTTTATTATCTGCTCATTGTAAACTTTAGTCATTTGGTGCTTTTAGTATTTATTTTCCTTTCAGAACACATAACTGTGTTCATGAGTATGCCAGGAAGCTACATCTTTATGTCCAATCTTAAAAAACACCAAGATAGTTTCAATTAGAGCATACAAAGATGAAGCAAAAATTGTCACGTGTGTGTCCATATCTGGTAGGTCAATCACTTCCATGTTGAAGGATACCTGATAAGACAGGACAGAAAGGTCACAGACAGGGTTGTTTAATTTAAAGCTCCATGTGTGAGAGAGAGTGTGTGTGTGTGTGTATCCTTATTTTAATTTGTGTGCAGATATATACGTGTGTGTGTGTGTGTGTGTGTGTGTGTGTGTGTGTGTGTGTGTGTGACTGTCACATTGCGCTCTCATTCTCTCCATCTCCATAACAGTAGCTGCCAGTGCGCCGCTGCCGAGGGAGATATATTTAGCATTTCATTAGGAAAACAGGAGCTGTCAATAAAATGTGTTAAGTGGAGTGGAATGAGCGTCGGGGAGCGACGGGCCTCGTTTGTTCCAATGTGAAGATGCTGCACCCGTATCGACAGTTTGCTTTTCATGAGGCCTGGCCTGTCCCCCTTGCTAATCAATGCCTGTTAGGAGTCTTTTCTCCTGCCTGCCTGAAAAATGAAAAATGCTGAGCCCAGAGCTTTAGTCTTCTGATGACAAACTCTCTGTGGGTGGGAAGGAGAGAGGAGGGAAGGATAAACAGGAGAAGACAGGAGAGGAAGAAAAACGAGGGGGGAGGGGGGGAGTTGATGGAAAGAGAGGGTTGTAAAGGTAAAGGAGAAGTGTGAGAGAGGAAGGCCGGGGTGGAGAGGGAGGCTCAGGGAGGGCGAGAGGGTAGCTTCTGCTCGTTTGAACACGGTTTCGGAGAGCTCTGGCTCCTGGGGTCCTGTGGGTGTGACAGCTGTGGAAATTCATGGCCATTGATTTTGTAATTAGCGGAGTATCGACGGGATTGACGCCAGGCTGCTGACGGATTACATGGAAATTGTTTCTTCAAAGTTAGTTTCGCATTCCGCCCCTAACCTCCACACGCACACACACACACACACACACACACGACAACACTCTCCCTATGCTTTCCACACACTGACACACATTTCAAAATATATTTCCTCTCCCCTCCTCTCCCTGCTTCACACACATACACACACAGACTTGTTCTCTCAGCCAAACGAGGATCAGATCAGTATTAACATGAACGTTTCAAATGAAGAGTGCTGGAACACATGTGCGGTCCACATAGCCTAGTTAATTTCCCAAGATAGAAACGCAATTTACACAGAAGGCGACTGGTAAAAGAGACTTAATCAGTCAGTTAGGAACATAATTAGCCTTGTACTTTCCCTTTTTTCTGCCTCATTTACATGTTTGTACATGGTCTTACTTCACTCCCCAACTTTCCCACACCAAGCACAGCTGATCTAATTCTCTCACTGGCTTCAATAATCAACCATGAGTGGTTATGCTTTAGTAAATTAGGGTGTTTAAGATATCCAGTCTGTATTTGTAATGCACAATTGTATCAATCCCTTAAAAAAGGGATGGATGTGATGCATCCACAGATTTATCCGGACACCGTCCATCCTAACAGAGATACTGTCTGAAACCAAACCACTGCTCGTCCATTCAGACTCTCTCTGTCAGCTCGTCCTTTAGAGGACAAGCCTGCTTTTTTTACCCTGACTTGTAGATTTACACATAGAGAGCAGTTTTTAATAAGTCTCTACTGGTTTTATTTTAGAGCCTATACATAAGGGGGCCAACTGCTCTTTCTTATGGAAATGAAGGCCATCTGCTGCCATCATTCAGCTGAACGATATCCTAGTAATGCAGCCATCTGAATTCATTAGCAGAGGGGGATGTATGTGGTCCATGATACCAAAAGAAATGAATCTCTTCCCTGTCCCACCATGTATTTATACAGACCTGCAGTACCTCTCCCTCTTCTTCTTTTTCCCTAGAGTCCAGGCCGTGCGAAGGCATTTATTTAAGGAGCATCATTAACCACTAACAAGAGAAAACCTCTCTGCAAAATTGCAGGTTTGCAAAGAGAGGCTGCTGAATCTAAAGCTTTGGAACACCAAGTTGTTGCTCCAGATGTATTTTATTTTTTTCTGCAGATGAATAGGGAACCTCTGATTCTCATGTAATATTTTGCTTTAGAAATGTAATCGTCCTGTGCTTCTTCCTGCAGACTCCATGCACATAGAGAATATCGAGGCAGTCCAAAGGCTCCAGGACTCTCTCCATGAGGCCCTGCAGGACTTTGAGGGCTCCCAGCACCCGGAGGACCCTCGACGGGCGGGGAAGCTGCTAATGACCCTCCCTCTTCTCCGTCAAACCGCAACCAAGGCTGTGCAGCACTTCTACAGCATTAAAATGCAGGGCAAAGTCCCCATGCACAAACTATTCCTTGAGATGCTGGAAGCCAAGGCTTGACACATGGGCCTCCAGGTGTTTGACAGACAGCTGCTACAGCCAATGGGAGGCAAGGGACAGTTTATTAAAAAAATAAAGGCAGTGTGCCAATTGAAGACTTAGACAATAGCGAAGATGTCTGAGTCATTTGAACTCTTTTAAATGATGATAAGTTTAAAAGAAAAAGAGACTTGAAATGATTTTAAAAAGGGTGAATATCAACCTGATGAAACGGGATCATGATGATGTAAATAACATTGTTGTGTACAGAAACCAGGCGGCAGAGGTCTTGTTATAACCAGAGACCTGTTGCTCTATATCACCTGAAGCTTCTGTGAATTTCTTTCTTTTGTTATTTTCATCTCAAAATGAAAGTATGTCAATATAAATGTCCTAAGAACTGTACGGCGATTAAGCCACACTCTGTATTCTTGTTTTTTTTCTTTCATATTTTCTTATCTGAGTTGTTAAAGCAATAGTCTCTCACTGGTTGACATATAATACATGTACTGTATATTGTGTAATATTGCACTGGGTGGGGGGAGGCAGAACTGTTCGACATATTCTTGTATATGTCATCAAAGAACGCAGTGGGTGCCTGCAGAAGATATGTAGGATTTCCTCCCAATATATTTACCTCGTAGTATCTCCATCGACTCAGCAGGTACAGTCAAACTGGTGCTTACAGAAGAACAACGATGGGCCAGTGATCAGAGTCACATATGGTTTGCACTAAGCATCGAACAATTTGGCAATAATGGGTCAAGTACTAACAAGCTCTGTATGGTAGCATCTGAGTCTCAGTCTGTGGTTTTTGTCTTAAAGACTACATCCCCCTCCTCATTTCTCCCTGCATTTGAAGTCATTATCAAATACTGACAACTAAATAAACTGTGAAATCTACACATGATAAGCTATATTTAAATGCTGAGAAGTTAAAGTGTATTCTGCTCGTCCAAAGGGACAGCAACATTTATGCAATTTAAAGCAATCTAATCAGCTATCTATAGCCCAGCAATAAATACAAGCTATATGATATTTAAACTTTGAGAGATAGGATCTCTGTTTTAAACCTCTGCTCTCCTCTGAGTAGGGGGTTTGCTGTATTAGATTGCATTATATTGCAAGGGTTTTGCTTTTTATATACGCCCTCTTACTTTGTTTAGGTTGCACTCTGAAACAACAGGTGTCACCATATAATCTTAAGATTTACATCCACAGCTTATCACATCAGTGCATCGTCTCCTCTTAGTTTAGCTCAGGAGCAAAACCAAAGTCTGTCCTGACTTATCTAATATTTTTATGACCCTGTTTTAGTGTTTTGTGGATGACAGGTTAAATATTTGTGGTCTAAGGCGGTAAATAGCAAGGTGTCCATAGGCATTGAAACCATTTGGTACAACTTCCTTGTTCTTTATCTCAAAAATTATTTCAATACTTTTTCATAATATTTTTTCTCTTATGATCAGACTTTAAGGTCCTAAACACAGGTGAAAATAACTCAAACTTCTGTTATTTCAGCAGAGGGTCATGAGCTCTGGTTGATAGCATTCAGACTGTAACCTTTAAATACTGTTTAGTTTATGACTTTAAAATAGAACATTTGAATTAATAGATTACAACAATGACACAATACATCAAACTCCTATAAGCCTGACCAATGTCCTCTAACAGGGTGCTCCTCCTTCAGGCACTGCAACTCTGCTTCACTTATGACCACAATCAAAGTGATTTTTTACTCTAGATTAACATGCAGATTTAAACTGTCATGTAAAAAAAAAACAGTTGCCAAATTATTCAAAGACAGAAATCTTTTATTATTGTAACAGTTATAAATCCACTGTCACAGCAAATAATGAAGTAAGAGATAAATTAGCTGCTCTTGAATGTTTAATTACACAGATGTTGTTCTGTGTAATGAACACTCGAGTTGGAAGTGCTTTTAGCTTTTGCTCAAACATGAAGATAAACTGACATCAAGTCCTTTATCTGTAAAGTTTGAATAATTATAACCCAACAGGGCAGATGATACATTTCCTATAATGCCGTCTAAATGTAAAAATGAATTAATTCATCCCTAGCTGAAAATAAAGTGAGTGTCATCAAGCTGGAGCACAGGGTCTTCAGAAACATCAGAAACAAGAATCAAGAGACAAAAGTGAACTTTAAATCTTATTAAATTTGTTTGCATTTTCCTTCATTGTTTTAAAATCCTGTGTTTGTCATGAAAGCAACCACATAAGATGGAAATCTTTTTTGCTCTGTGATTAGACACATTGATTAAATACTATTGTCTTTGTCAAAATTTAAAGAACAAACTCTAATGAAACCATATTGAAGAACTTTTTAGATGTTATGTTTAAAAGAATTAGTCCCCTTTTTGGCTGATTAAAGTGCTAATGACCACTAACAGACAACCTGACCATCTCCTTCAATAAAAAGTTCCTTCATGTCCCTCCTTTCTGCACTTTGAACACTGACAGCAGCTAATTGTTTCCCAACTTCCCCCCTCTTTTCAAATTAATATAAGAAAAATAAAAGAAAAATGCTTAATTTATTTTCAGACTTCTAAAATGGTTCTACTGCATCCAATTAATTCTAATTGTCTCCAAAGCAGAAATTCTCAAAAGAAATGGAGCAATTACATTTTTGCTTTGGCTCTACCTTGGGGACAAGAGCAAGAGACGTTTTATTTCGGTTGTCGGTGGGGGTGGGGGTCTGTAGAAGCCTTCAACAGGAGATTTCATGGGTGTCTGTAACAGTTTCATAACAGGGCGATCACTGGGCTATGCAAGGCAAATATGGCCACTTGATGTTCCTTGTGTTAGGGAGCATTGGATAGACATTCACTTGTGCTTTGTTTACATATTGCTGTGTACTGCAAATATATTGTGCAAATTTTACCATAATTACTGTAGCTATTGTATTACTATGATTATTTGTTTAAGCAGCCCGTTTCTGGTGATAAATTCAGTACCTGCACAGCTATATAATACAAGTCACTGTATTGAATCAAGTGAGAAAAAGTTTGTTCACATATATTGGTTTTTGTGTCTCTCACTGCTGAAAACACACTGTTTTGTCATCCGTCTTGGTCATCAGCACAGCAGGACATATAAGCGAAGAAGTCTAGGCCCTATACCTTAATTCATGTTTTAGAAAATTACACTGCGTTTGGAAACGGGCCATGCTCTTCCTCCTGGGAATCAGTGGCACAGAAATAAAGTGACATCACTGACTGGGTATTAAAAAAATGTAGATAACCTGCTGCGATTGGGGAGCACATTCCTTGGAGGAGGAAAGCTGCCTTTGCACTGCTCCATTTGTGGACTTTTCTTCACTCTGTGTGCCCTGAGATGACGAGATTTACATAAAACGTGGAGAAACCTCCCCAGCCATGTAAAGGACCCGACTAGGTGTTTGTACTGTAGACACATAAATACCCCTGAGGCTTACCTCCCTTGAAAAGCAATACGTTAGCAATCGTGGTACATGAATCCAGCTTAATAATGGAGGCTTTGGTCCATTTTTAATTATGAACCTACTCTGTGCTCGGGTAACTATGCACACATGTTTGCAGACCTGGTGAGGCAAAGGGTTCAAATGTGAAAAGCAAAACCACAGCTGGTTTCACTCGACAGTATTTTGTGACTTCTCTTGTGTTTTATGTTTGTTGTATTTATGCCTAATGTACCCATGTGTAAATATAAGCTTTTTTTCTGAGTGAATCAGATCTAACAGTGCACTGAATGTACAGTGACAATAAAAACACACGGTTTATGTAAACACTGCAAATGATTTCTATATTTACTTTCAAGTAAAAACACACTGGTCATTAACGAATGCTGTGGAGGGGTCCAAAAGAAGAGTGATAAAAGACCTGTTGTTAGTTCGTCTGTCTGGCTATTGACAAAAATGTAAGTGGATTACGCTGGTTTTCATTTTATTATTTAGGACAGCCATACAGAACAGTCAGACAGAACAGTCTTTTCCTGATCACAGCATCGGTAATGTAAGGTCAAACAACGCCTATCGTGAACCATTGTGTGTGTGCGTGCGTGCGTGTGTGTGTGTGTCTGCATGTGCACATATACGTCAGACAAGAGGCTGCCTTGGGGTGTAACGGCATCCTCCTGCCCCGACTGTCAGTTGGTTCGCTGTCTACACAACGTCCCGTTTGACCTTGCGTTTAGTTACAACACCGGCTGAATGCACATCTGACACACTCACTTCCTTTGTGGTGCAATCCTGTGGAAGTCATTTCATTTACTGGGCTTTTTAACTTCAGCCAATGTAGGGGGCATGGGGGGGTGGGGGTGGGGATGGGGTAATCAGCCTATCGAGTGTACCCCTCAAACAAAATCACTGTGATGTCGGCAGAAAAAAGATATCTCAACATGAGATTAAGTAAAACATATAAATAAATTTGTCAGTTTTTAAATTTTGTTTACTAAATTGACACTGTAAAGCTCTTATTAACAATGGAGGTAACAGCTCGGTATTAACTTAAATTTCTCAGCATTACTGGACACCATTTCAAAGAAGATGACACACAATATCAAATTTAAAAGGATTCAACTATGCAGTCCTCAAGTCTTTGTGATTTAATTCTTATCAGCCTCCTGATGAAATTCATGGTAAAATAGAAAACAGCATACTTATTTGTTATGTAGCAAATAAATGAGCATTTCCATTGAGTGTAATTTAAGCACTCTCACAGGAGTATTTATGTTGACATACCCGTCCTCATTCAGCCCTCCTTTTTCTCAGAGTTTTGGAGTTAACCCACTTTTTAACAGCACATATCACCTCTGGTTATGGTTTCGGTTGCTATCGGCAACTTAATGATACCTACATCCGCTCTGTCGCGCTTACCTTGAATGCAGGACAAGCTTGTACTCTGATTTTCCCTGTAAAATAATAGGTGCAGTCTAGTAGTTCCTCAGGCTGCTTTCACAACTGTCATTACTCTCTGACTTTTAAAAGCCTAAGACAGAAGTTATATTTTTACCAGAGTGTCAGCAGACAGAGGGGAAATGTATCAGACTCCTTTCTGCAAGCTGATTTGATATGACGTGATCAGGTTGTCTTTGGCATTGATTTAGCTATTTAGAGTACCATTGTAAAAGGGTTTAGACCAGTAAGATTTTCAAATTTAATACAGTTGGGTTATTAAGACACAGCAGTAGATGGAGGCCAGGACTGCCCCCTGTTTGGAGGAGCTGAAATGAAAGCTG